AATTGAATTATAATTCATACACCAATGTTTGTTAATTTGCTCATTTATTCTACCAGCCAATACATTTTTTGTGCAATTGAAATATTAAAACCGATATTAAAATCATCATCCCTGTTTGTTATTTGATTATACACCACATTGGTTTGAATAATTGGAAGCTTTATATAGCATAAAACAACAATAAAAATACCAAAGATTAATTGTGTAAGTGTTGTCGAGATATCTGAATGAAGCACTAATATTTTAAGGCTCTTCCATTAAATGCTGGTTGTTATGAATTTTATTATTTTGTCTGTTTCAGCTTTCCATGTCAATCCATTAGAAAATAGATTAGTGGTTTTCCAGGACACCTAATTAACTCCAAAATTATTTCTGTCAGACCTCCGGTAGGGCACAACTGGAAACCACTATAAGACACTGTTTGATTTTAAGGACTACCCCAGCCGTATCACTATATGAACAGAGACATATAAACACTACATGTTTTTCCAACCTTATAGTACTATGTTGTCTTAGTCTGAAAAAAAACCAATCAACCTGCAACCACTATAAGACAGTGTTTGACTACCCCAGCCCTATCACTATATGAACAGAGGCACACACAGTCACTAAATGATATTACAATTTTATTTCTGAACTACATAATAATAGCAATGTTAAATATAAATTATGCTAATTATTATATTACAAGAAATATAACAATATTTATCTACACATACAAATATAAATGGATTTCAAATAAAACATTAAAAGAATTATTAAGTTTATGGGACGGTATCATCAAGAATTATTAAGTTTATGAGACGGTATCATCAAGATGGACATAAACAATGAAACATAATGTTTGCTGGCCCGTCGATATCTTGTTCGTCAAACAGAACAAGATAATTTACGAATAGGAGTTACCCTGTTTGTCCAGCTGAACAAGATACATGTAATGGACTAATGCAGCCCGGTGTATTTGCAGTTCAAACGCTTGCGCCGTAACCACTGTTTTGCATTTTCAATTATGTCCCGAATTGTCACACCTAAACAATATATAATTACATAAACAAATACAAAAAATAATACAGTAATTATAACATTAAGAATTATCCCTGAAATATAAAAATAAGAAATGATTAATTACAGAAATCATCTATATTGAAAATAACCAAAACACAAATACTCACAAGGGAATAGCTTAGATTGGCAATAAATCAGTTTTGTTTGATACCAGAAATACCTTATAATTTTAAACAGTGCATTATACTTAATCAGATACAGATGGTATCATCATTTTATAGTCATCTGGTAACCCGTTTCAGTCTCACGTGAACGGAATGCTTTGTCTACCAGAATGTTTAATATTCCTATATATCATTTCCGGTTTACCCAGGGATGGACTGAACATGCGCCTGCACGGCACGCATGGTAGACTAGGTGTCCTGAATGACGTTAATATTCTTACGTAGTTTGGTGACCCTATTTAGACTTGAATGTACGTTCCTGGGATTATCTCATCAGTCGGAGGCGAGAATTATGTTAGAAATTACGAACAGTAACCAACGTACGGAGATAGCAGAGGACTTCTGTTTATACTGTAATACATGACTAAAAGGAAGGAGAGAGTTTTACCTGAGAAACTGCGTGTGGGTTGTTTTTCTTTCGGTTTAGTTTCACCTCCAGTGCCGTTTGATGAAATTTCTTTGTCTGCACAAACAGTATCAGATACTCCATTACCTATACATATTGTAATACTACAGGGTTTATTTTAGTTTTAAGAAAGGTGTTCTGTTTAATATAGAAATTCGTTACCTACATGATGTGTGACGAAACTATAGTAATGAAGTAGCTTGCATTATTCTACTACTATCTTAGACTAAACTCACCGACAGTCATGTCAGTATCAATTGCTGGAAGTAGGGTACTATAGTCCAGTCATCTCGTGCACGGATTAGTGTTGACGTAAAACGATGCCCATACGAAACACTTACCCAAAAATGGTAATTGTCCCGCCCTAATAGATGACGCATTTTTACCTTTTATATGGGAGAGAGCTGGTTTAATTTACCCTCAGACATTATTCGGAGATCAAGGGCAACACACCCACAGCAGCCTCGACTGAGAGGCTGGGATAGAGGCAAAATTTAGTATTTAAACCGTTAGGTCTGAGTTGTAAAGGATGCTAAACTCAGACCGTAGATATTTTAATAACGCCTAAAGTTTCTATAATAGATGCTGTAGTTTTATTGTATTTAACTTTGTAGTATGCTGTATTTGTTATATAAACTTAGTAACAACATAAATAGTGTTTCAGCCTTAATTGATCATTGGAAATAGTTATCACCACGTGAAGAAGAAGAGAGTCCTAGAAGAAAGTGTCACATCTGTCCCCACAGTGTTACAATAATATAACCCAATATTATTCACTAATTGGGCATAAAGAGTAAGGCCGAAAATAGCCAATCGATTTCCGATCTAACTGGGCGAACCTTCTGTAACAGCTGCTCAGGTTGATAACAATATGACTATCTCTGTGGGTCTCATGGTCGTCATATGTCATAACATGATCTATCCTTTTAAAACGGACAATTTTTCGGTAAATCCAGCGGTTAAAGGTATATCAATATAATATCCTCTTATATCGACCATTTTATGTAATTAAAAATTTCATATTTTACATTAGAATCGATTTTTTGTCCTGTCAGATATCAAATTAAAATTTGAGTTGACTGTTTGTCGACATGCAAGATACAAAACTAGTATTAATTACCAATTTTGGCCATTCACAGAAATAAAGGGGCCATTAAAGTTTAGTTTAAATACTACCAATTCTATTCATACCTTCCTTTATCAAATGCAAAGTTTCAGTAAAATAAAACTTACCTTGTTGAACGACTATCTGATTTGGGTTACACTGGGTGTGACCTCGGCACGTACCACATGACGATGTTCTGAAAGTTCCAACAGGGCAAGTCTGACAGTCTGATTCGTCATCAGTCGTTGTCTGAAATATCGAAATGACATGTAATTATTAATCTGCTTTTGGGTTTCCCAATCTTCTAAATGACGATGTTCTGAAATTTCCCACAGGGCAAGTCTGACAGTCTAATTTGTCTAGAGGGTTCACTAGTCCGCCGCTATAAGAATACTAAATATGGGTATCAATAAACCTAACCCTAGCCCTAACCCTAATAATAGATATCGGTGGACTAATGAACCCTAACCCAACCATAACCCTAGATATCGGTGGACTAATGAATCCGCGGACTAGTGAACCCACAGACTAGTGATCAAGCATTCTTCAATTTGTCATCAGTTGCTGTCTGAAATATACCGAAATGACATGTAATTATTAATCTAAATAAATTTTGTGCATTCACCAGTAGGGGACAGGTTGCAACTGTAAATCGGAATGTGATAGGGTTCCACCTAGCAATATTTTACTCTAAATCGTATATAAAGAGACCCATATTTATCGCAAATTCTCGTTCTGACTGACTTACACTATAGTATATATCGTATGATAAAATCATGATGTTCGAGGCCAGCCTGTGCTGCGTAGCATTATGTCGTACTTGACTTTTTCCAAATTATGTTTTTTTAACATTCGAATCTAACAGAATATTGAAAACAGAATAATGATTGGAATCTCAAAATCCCTGTGTATATAAAGACGTTTCCAAAGAGCTTAGTATAGAAGCGCATTGTATTATATTGACTTACGCTTGGGACACATTGACCGTGATTTCCAACAATGTTCTTCCAGACTTGTCCTTTCGGACATTCGCATACTGTGTCGTTAATAGTAGTACAGTTTGCTTTTATTATTTGGGAGTGTTGACATATCTTACAGTGGTCACAGTAAGGAGCATTGTTTGGACGATCTGTAAATTGTCCTTCAGCACACGTACTACAAGATGGTGGACCATTATCAAATTTACATGGTGAAGACTGAAAGGTTCCGGATGGACATGGCTGACATATTGAAACCTAAAAATAAAGAAATAATAATCACTGATCTTGTACATTATTGTCGCTTTAGCTTTTCTAGAGGCACCCTATTATGATCGTTAAATTGTTCCTATTATTACTATTACTTGGCGCAACAGATACGAATGTCATTTAAAGAGACAGTTTCATAGCGTTCTGAGATTACGTTAAATTGGTAGCCGCAGAGGATCAGTGATTAAGACACTGGCTATCTAACCAGGAGGTCTCGGGTTCGCTCTAGGTGTTGACCGAAAAGTTTCCGGTGTTTCATCTTGTCAGTTTACCCGTGGTTCGAGCAAGACAAGAAACCGTGGCTAGTAGGTCGGATGAAACAAAAACCGTGGTCCCGTGTACACAATGACGTGCACGTAATAGAACGCGATAGTTAGGATTCGAAATAAGAGTAGACCGCGATGCTGCGATCTTGGCAAAATTTCCCTCATAGAACGGACGTATGCCCGTGTTCAATTTTCCAGTCGCTGTAAATTATTTTAAATGCATATGGTCTAATATGGCTTTATTTTGATTTTTAAGGTCAAGCATAGAAATGTCTTTAAAATAAGGTTAAACAAATCGCAAGGGCCAATTGGGTCATTTAGCGTAGGGGTTAAGGGGTTCAAGTTAGGAAATGTTGCAAAAATGAGGTCAGTGAGGCCGTAAAAAGGTCACCCTGTCAACTAGGGAAATCGGGCGTCAATAAAATCCTAAAAGTCAAAGAAGGTCACCGAAGTCATCTAGGTGTCGTATTATATAATTGAATATCACTTCTTTCTGTTGTAACATTTATCCAGCTCATATATACATCCAACACGAAAAGGTTGCATTACATACGTGTACAGTACGATATTTTACACTACAGACCGAAGACATATGCAAACCAAAGATTAATTATCTGGCAACTCACAAGCACCTTACAGATTTCTTTCCGTCGCCGTTTCGTCGGCCATTGAAATGTCTGGTACGAGAATTCCCAATCGACGCCATGATATATGGCGATGTTATACAGTTAACCATAACGAAACAGCAAGTTTATTCAATTTTATTAATTTTTATTTTTAAAAAATATACTAGAAAATATTATAAATTAGATGATCAATATATAAATACTATTAAATATATGTATAAATAAAAAGAAATAGCCTATGCAATTCAAATATAAAGGTCAGGGGAAAGAACTCTTGTAGTTTTGGATGCAGACCACCATTATTTTCACTTTTGTTTTCCAAATTTTCGTTGAACAGTAACGCCTTTATTAGCCTGTTCGGTGCAGAACGTTAAACCACATTTCATTTCGTTGACCATTCAAATTTTGAGATATACTACCTTGAAGTGGATGTAAATATCCCCCGTATATAACTCCGTCGCAAAGCTATTACATGTAATTCTGTTATCCTTCCACCTTTAAACAATGAATATATACCAAACCCTGAAAGAAAATGTTAATTCAAACCCTCGTCTTCCATTCTAGACCAAAAATTCAACAAAACTGACCACACAAAAGGCACACAGGGGAGAGTCAGAATCACTATATTTTTATATAGAAACACTACAAATCGTGGATACCGGGATGATGAAAATTAATGGTGGTCTGCCTTCCTTGAACGGCAATTAACAATTTCCGAATAGTTAGCAATGTCAATTATGTACCATACCTTGACGTATACTAATCTTTATATTTCCAAAGACCCCCCAAAAATCAAATAACAATGTAAAAGGTTGTTAGTCGACTCTGTTATTATTATCACTACGCGATGTTAGATTAACACAAACTGAGGAGGCATAATTTGATTTGTTCTACATTTTGTATCTTAATAAGGAGATATAATGGATATGTTTCTTTTTGTTTGATTCCTTTTAATTTTTCTTCTGCTTATTTTCCTCCTGTTCTTGGATCTCTGTTTTGATTTGTGATTGTTGTGTTCTGCTAACCGTTTAGGCGATACCGTGTACTGCAAGTCTTTCTTTGTACTCATTTCATATTGTGATGAAGGTTTTGCTTTAGATGCAATCTGTTTTCGTCCGTGCTTTCTAGTTCGTTTTCGTCCGTGTTCTTTAGTTCGTTTTAGACCCTGCTTTCGTCCGTGTTTCCCAGTTCGTTTTCGTCCGTGTTTTCTGTTTCTTTTTCGTCCGTGCTTTCTAGTTCTTTTGCTATAACGACAACGCTTTTTATCAATTTTGCTAAGTTTGTTTATATTATGGCACCGCTTACGTTTCTTCTCATTTTTAATAAAGCGTTGGTTTTTTCTTCTTGTAAGGGTCTTCTTGTCTTTCGTCGCCAAGGGGTGTGGTGGTGCTAATGTTAAAACCATCTCCATTATAGGCCTTCCAGTTGAACGTGTGGTAACTTTAGACCATATTTCCTGCGATTGGTTTGATATGGATTTATTTTGATGCCTTTTCGGTTCAGTTGTAGGTTTTGAAATCGCATCCAGCGTGCGACTAATAGTAAGCGACTGTGTAAAATCAACATCATTTTGAAACATCAGATTGTTATTTTCATTAGTGGCTGTTTGGTGCATTAAGCTTGAAGGTGATGATGATGGTGGTGGTGGTGGTGTTACTAATTCATCCTTTTTACGGGAACAAACCGTATCTGAAGTTGACGTACCTGAAATATATGACATAAGTGATCATTCACTCCCATCCGCGTACGTAGCAAACGTACGAAAATTAAATGTTAGCTAGCACTTCTCTGCAGGTAGAGTGGGTTTGTCGTTCAGATTGTCCAATCCGTTGTTATCTTAAAAATATATCACCTGGACAGCAACATTTTTTATTACAGTAAACGCCATTCCAAAGACATTTCATATTACATGTCTATTAGGGAAATGTTGCGAATTCCAGCTACCAAGGGCAAGTGATCTTTTGCGTGCACTCCAGTGTGTACGCGGGGTGTTGTATTTACGCCCCATCCGAACAAGACGTTTTCCCTTTCCTTGTCCTTTGTCCTACACCACTGACAAGGTGGAACCGCGCCGATAAAACCGATGAAATTTCTCGATAAACACTGGAATCGAACACGGGACCGCCAGGGTAGAGAGCCAACGTCTTACCCACTGAGCTACCGTGGCTCCCGATTTCAGTTTACTGTCTATATTATAAATATTATAATGATCTTAACAAGGCCATGTTAGTAGTGTCTAATTCGATACACTTTCTGACAAAAATTCGACAGTGGTTACCCTGCATAAAGTAAAGGAATCATACAAATATTTTAATTCTGGCGACTTATTACTCTGAACAGAAAGATACATTCTAGGCACGGAACTAACTAACCTGGTTGAATTACGAGTTGTCCAGATTTGCATTCGGAATGTGGTCGACATATTCCCTGATCTTCCACAATGATCTGCCAGAAGTATCCTTCAGGACATTCACAAATAGTATCCCTGGTTCTAGAACACGGGGACGTTTCACGTTGACCACGTTGACATATCGTACATGAAGCACAATAAAGGGCTTGATTTGGTTTACTTGAGAACGTCAGTGGTGGACAAGTTGTACACGTAGACGTTCCATGCTGTATACTACACGGTGAATTTAAATGAGTTCCTTCTGGACACATCTGACAGGTTAAACCATTTGGTGACACGTACTGAAACATGTAGAAAAAAAATTACAGCAGAGTTGATAAGTGTGCATCTATTTAAACTTTGCAATACCGCAGGAGAGGCATGGATTGTAGCAAATGAATGTGGCCATGGTCATAGAGCGTGACAATTCAGACCGATAGACCAGTCGGACCAATAAAAATAGACAAGTCGGATCATCCCCAAAGGCAACTCGGACTAATTTGTTTTTGAAATAATAGGTAATTAAAACAGTTTACTTAATTAATAGTTTCATTACATTTACCAATGTTGCAATAAATAGTAACAAATGTTTGATAAAGTACCTTATACAACAAGAATAATTTACTTTATAAAAAAGGGTAAGATTTTGAAACAAACTATAACTTACCTTAAACCTTTCATCGATGCATCTGCCATCATGCCCATTATTTAGAGGTATCCACATTTTTCCTTCGGAACATACACATACAACATCACTGAAGTGTGTGCAAGATTTTTCTGTAATGGTGCTTAGCGGACATACTGCGCAATCTTGACACTGAGTGGCGGAGTTAGACCTGTTAGAAAATGTACCGCTTGAACAGGTCTCACACGTTGATAATCCATAATTCTCTGTACATGATGCTTTTAAGTACGTTCCAGGAAGACATAACCGGCACCATAGCCCCTCTTCGGATTGATATAACTCTCCCTGAAAGATTTGTCTAATTTGAAAGCGATGACCATCGTAGAGATACGGCGAAGACTACTAAAAACAGAGAATACCCGAGCTGACGGGACTTCATCGCCACTACAGTCATTAAACTTTGTACCGTTTACAAATTGCACAACCATGAATTGTAATTATGCTAGTCAGTCATTAAACTATTTACAAATCGCCCAATCTTAAATTGCAATTGTGCTAGCCATTAAAGTATGATGAGCCGGGTACCGTTTACAAATTGCACAACCTTGAAATGTAATTTTGGAAGTCATTAAACTATGATGAGCTAGGTATTGTTACAAATTACACGACCTTGAATTGTAATTGTGCTAGTCATTAAACTATGATGCGCTGGGTACCATTTACAAATTGCACAACCTTGGATTGTAATAATTATTGTGCTATTCATTAAACTATGATGCGTTGGGTACCGTTTTATAATAGTACAATCTTGAAGTGCTAGGGTAATAAAATCGTGAGCTTGAGATCGGTGTTTTTGATAAATAAAGAAAAAGAAAGTAATTTAACTATATTTACGAATGTCAAGATTATATACGTCTCTTTAAAAGTATGATTTTACGATTATCAAGATCACATACATCTCTTTAAGAGTATGATTGTACTAATATCCGGATGATATACGCCTCTTTAAAAGCATGATTGTACGAATATCAAGATCGCATATGTCTCTATGATTGTACGAATATCAAGATTATATAGGTCTCTTTAAAATTAGGATTGTATGTTATGAATGAATACAATATTTGCTTATATCTTCTTTCAAAAATGGCCCATGATGGCCACTATAAATGGAGACCCCACAGTTTTAAATATGAAGTGGTATTGAGAAAGGTTAACGCGTCGGCGTTGCATCAAGTGGTGTAGTTCCGATTGCCCGCTTGTATGTGTACAAGGAGTAAGGTCACCAGTCCAACCTCGTAGATTTTCCGCCCACAGTTAAATACCTCTTGTGACGAAGTGCTCGATAACTTGTACCATATTAAGACTATATTTTATATATGTTAAAAATTAACATTTATTTAGATGCAATGAACTTATTAAACCCCATATATTATTAATCTACGATATACGATATACTGTATATATAGATTTACACGTCCACTACCTATAAATCTATGCACGTATTTAATTACAGACTTAATCAATCCCACATGTATGTATACATTTATACCAGTCAGCGAAATTAATACGATAATTTGACAGTTAGACAGACGGGAGGTGGAGAGTTGCGAAGAGGAGTAGAGAAGAGACGGGACGACGGAGAAGAGCGAAGAGTAGCAGAAGAGTGCGGAGACGGCCGTATGGACTCACCCGAGTTCAGCCGCGACCCTTGCAGATAGGCACAATGGTTGTAATATGGTCATGTACTGTGTTAATGTTTAATTTATCTTCCTGTTGTATTTATCTAGCTGTATCATGTGAATAAATCCTGTATTTAAGAAACTGATATTCTTTTATCACTAATAGTTTTACACTCTACGCACAAGCGAATTATTGAAATAAAATATTATTTTCATTTCACATTACTGTATTCCGATTTCAATAGACTGATTTTGGTGGTTGTTTTCTTTTATCATAAACAATTTCGATATGAATATTGTTATATTCTTTGTTAACATTATAAATTTAATCTGATAATACTCTACGGACGAGCGCACATAAGCTATTTGATCTTACCTTTTCACTGGGATATCCTGTTGTTAAATACAGAGTGGTGATGAATGGTAACACAGCTTTGTTAATCAACATTGTTGAACCTTGAATAAAATATAACACATCTTAAAAAGGGTTAAAAAAGTTTGTTTCTTTTTTTTCGGGGAAACATAATTCTCTATAGCTTGGATACAGTGGCATCTTAAATTTGAAAGTAGAATATGAGTATGTTAGTTTGTCAAAATGAGAAATTGTGTCGGGTGTTGTAGAAACAGTCAGCATGCACGTGGATCCAACCCAGCACATACTGTTTAATAAGCATCGTCGTACTCGCCTGTCCATAGATAGTGTTGTTAATCGTCAAAATTACTATCAAAATAGCAATAATGATTTCTTACTTATCCATAATTAAAAGGATGAATTTTTTTTCTGTTGTCATTTTGTGTTATTAGTATCGATTATTTTAGCAAAACTGGTGTTATGCGACTCGATCAATAATTAGTATTTGTTTCTTTGGTTACAACGCTCAATGACTAGGGCATATTTTGCATATATATTTGTATACAAGTAATCGTTACACTATTTACAATTAACACTTGCATATACATGTATTTGTTATTCAATTATCCTTGGGCGTGGAATATAAATCTTAAAGGATCAAACCTTTAACTCAATATTTACATGTACATAGTATTCGAAATTAAAAACACGAATTAGAATCCAATATTGGTCCATTTCAATCGATATTGATGTTGTTATCTTGCAGTTGCAATAATATAGGATCAAAATCAAATAAGAAACCCTGAATATTTTATCATCAGTACACGAGTCATGCATTCTATGGTTTCGGGCGCAATTGGTAACGAACAAAGAAAAACATATCCTATAAGACAATGTGGTAATAATGGCTAATTCACACACCGACAAAATAATAATTTTAAAAAACATGTAGAATGGATTAAGCAGGCGTAAATATTCAATTTGGACGATTCGGACACTTCACCAATCTGATTAAAATACAGATCCATATTTCGTTTCGTTTGTTTTTTTGTGTTTTTTTTTTAATACTTTCGATGACCTACACTACATGAAGATCTGACCAGCTGTACTAGGAGGTCGTTTCATGGGGTCATACGAGCGGTTTTTGACCCTATGACATCAGACATTGATTAATCAATCAGCGTTGATGTTTCTAGGGGTTTACCCACAGTTCCGTGCAGAGCACGCCAAGAACTGACCTTAACAGACCGTTTCATCGGTTTAATTCCTCACATCAACTAGAACGCCTGTTATATAACAACTTTTCCAGATCTTAGTGTAGTAAAGACATGTAAAACGAAATTTTGAACTATAAAAACGAAATGAAATTGGATCTGTGTTTCACCGAAGATAACTGATTAGAATTGAATCACTTTATATAATTCATATTATATTAAACATACATTATGCAAGAGCTAAATCTGCCAATTGCAGGTCTTTCTTTAGGCCTGAAATGTTATCTACATTATTAATTAGACATTAATTAACTTATCCAGACCGTAATCAACTCTCGATGTCATCGCTATTTAATGGATTAGAACCCGGACTGCTGCTGCTGATTAAATCAAAAAATTGATAATCGAGACTGTGTGTTTTATCGTGCCGACTTTAGTAATGATGATCGAGGCCAGGCCCAAAATTTAATCGCTAAATTCTCGGTTCAGAGTGGATCAATTTGACTGAAATTTTCAGCAAATTATTACCTTTACATTATCTAGTTTTTAACTATTATAGTGAGAACTGCCAGCTCTTTATCTAATATCCCATAATGTATCTTTAATTTGTGCTTTTACACTTATTTTCGTCAATTTTAATGTTCCAAAGAATGGAGTCATACACCCTTTAAACCAGTCGCGCCCTAATTTCCATTTTTCACGTACATGTGTCGCCACCCTAAACGACCATTATATAGAGGATATTTGTCGTTTTGTCGTGAATAACATATGTTATTTCATCGAGAAGCAAGAAAACTTATATTTTCACGAATGCTACGCATTCGTGAAAATATAAACGTTTTCTTTTTTATAGATGAAATAAAATATGTTATTCACGACAAAACGACAAATGTTCTATTTATTGTATGATTTTACAATCATTTTAGGTAAAAACAACATGGACTACTGCTAGCCAGTGGAATAACACTTTTATTTCACTGATAAAACGCGGTATTCCACTACTGATCATAAAATAAAATGTAATATCTTACAATTAAAGGGGAGTGTATTTAATATAATATGGCTGCCAAAGTGACCTGCCAGTCTTAAAACCACGAGTTAAAATGATGATTTGGTGGGGTCAAAACGACAACAGTAGGTTTTATTGGATTGTATATTTTGTGGGATTTAAATTTTACATCTATGGATATAACCATTGCTAAGATATAATCGAGGTCGACACAGCAGATTTAAGAGAAAATGAAACAGAGGTTAGTCAAAAAGACGACTTTAGCGAAATAACGGACGTGCCCTATTACGAACACATCAGATCACCTTAATTCAGATATGAGTTAGAAGAGCGATTTACAGACTAAAATCAAATATTTTGAATGCTGGGGTCCTGACTTTCGTTAATAGATAAACTTCTCTGGCTTCAATACCCAAAGCATCTAAATTCAACGTTATGAACAGAAAATTAACACGATAAACCAATAGCTTTAGGCTTATAATATATCGAATTTACTCGTGTCCTAATTGTTGACCATGTAACGATCTGTATCGTGTATCGTACATGAATCCAAGGCACTGTTGACATTGTCGATACTATACGAGCTGAAGTCAGAATCTCTGGATAAAATAAAATAATCTAAAAGCTGAGGTCTCAACTTCTGTAAATAAACTTCGTCCATTTATATCCAACGTTTTGAACAGAACGTTAACACTGTAAATCAGCACTAGGTGAATATGAAATTTAATCATGTCCAAATTATTCATATCGTACAGTTATGTGATGTTTTAAACTTGGTGTATACAGATCATAAACAAGACTTAGTACATCAATAATATAAATAACATAAATAATTTGTACCTGTGAATACAAGAAAATTTAACATAGTTTTATGAATACTTACATCAAGCCAACCTCGACAATCGACTATGATAGACATATTAATAGAATAATAAGGTGTGACTGGAAAACACCGTTCTATAATTAGAATACTATTGCGCATAATAAAATACGAACATTCATAACAGGTATGATGTGTAGGTGGGTAAATTAAAGTTATCGGATTGTTATCGAATTGATTTGTTACCTCATGTTAAGTTGTGCATTGTAGCATAAGATATATATATATATATATATTAAATTCACTGATTTAAGATTGACTGTGAGATTGTTTAGAAGCATTTAACATCAACTTAAAGGGACTGTAGGTAAGATTAGATAAAATGAAATGAAATGGGGTTTAACGTCCTACTGTTCTGCTCCTAACCTGGGCTAATGAAGACGGGCATACGCCATACAGTGTGCTATGAGGGAAATTTTGCCCGGGCAGCGGCGCTACGGCCTACTCTTATATCGAATTCCAACTGCCATGGGATCTTTTACGTGCACGCCAATGTGTACACGGGATCTCGGTTTTTCGTCCCATCCGAACGACTAGACAGCTGTCTTTGTCAGGCCCTCCGTCCTGTATCAATGACAAGGGGGGACCACGCCGGAAAATCTGGATGAACTTTCTCGGTCAATGCAGGGATCGAACACCCGACCTCCAGCGTCTTACCCGCTTAGCTGAAAACAAAATTTCGGTATAATTGCTTCACTGTGAACCGAGATATTAGCGATTCAATTTTAGGCTACCTTCGATCGTCATTACTACCGTTGGTACGATAATAAACAAAATCTCGATTATTACTTTTTACGTTAAATCATTCACCACAAAAAGTATTCAAATCCAGTAAATATAGCAGGCCAACGATGACATCGAGAGTTGATTATGGTCTTGATAAGTTAATTAGTGTCTAATTAATAATTTAGATAACAACGAAAAAGTCGCAATATGCAGATTTAGCTCTCGCATAATGCATAATTTAACACACTACGTCTGTCCTTGTCTATGTCGTTTATTACCATTTTAGGCGATAGAACTTTCTAGAATCGTCATTTAGAAACTTCTACAACCATGGAAATTTCTGTGTTAACATTCATTTAGGTACATCATTTGCGGACACCGTGTGTCAGTCAACCAAAAAATGTCCTAAGGGAGCTAGGTTCGTATTTTTTATAATATCGTTAAAGGTACATTGCCGAATTTAGCGGCCTTGAGATTTGTTACTTTTAATTGCATACACTACATATAACATATGTCTAAGTATAATTTCTAAATTATGTTGCGTCCATGTTTGTAATCGAGATTATCAAATAACTGTCCCGATTCCGATTTCTAACTCAAGGGCTAATAACTCGTCTGTAACCGATTCTCTTTCAGTAGATATAATAATACCAAGGTGAGAAACGGGTTGAATTAAAATAGTTGGGATCAAAGTTCAATACTCTAGATTCCGTCAACTAGTGGCAATACTCACTAATTTTCGCCAGGTAGACAATGGAGTCTACAATGGCGTTTTAAAATTATCCACTGGAATCAGACCAGTTATTTAATAATCTCGTTTACGAACATTATACTTAGCCATAGCTTGATGTTATTTTTGAAATATTTTCCACGTTACAGGCGCCTGTAGTCTAGCATGCTCCCTGGCAAGAAACAACAACATCGTCTAGTGATCTGTATCATGTATCGTACATGAATCCAAGTCAAGACAGGGCTTACACTGTCGATACGATACGAGCTGAATTGTGATTCTTTGACTAAAATTAAATAATCTAAAAGCGTCCCGACTTTTGTAAACCCACGTTATCGATTTCAATCCAACGTTTTGAACAGAACGTTAACAGTGTAAACCAGTGATGGGATTTCAAAATTTTACTTGTCGGACATTTTACCGAAAATAAAGGGGCATAACTCTTAAATTAAAAGTCACATGTCAAAATATTCAAATCCCGTACGTAATAAAAATAGGTGAACCTCGCTATTTTTCATATTTAATTCCCGTACAGTATTCAATTCATACCACAATTAAAAACCACCGTACAGTATTCAATTCATACCACAATTAAAAACCACATGTCAACAAAATATTCAAATCCCGTACGTAATAAAAATTGGTGACCTCGCTATTTTTCACACTTAATTCCCGTACGGCATTCAAATTTATGTCAGTAAATGTCGTACAAAATTAAGCATTTTCGTGATATGTTGAATGAAAGCTTGCCGATCCTGCTTCGGCATCAAATTCACAACCATAATATTCCTTTAGAATTACGTGTCTTCGTTTATACGGCAGCAAATGAATGTAGAACTTCCGAAATAGTTAAATCACTTGTAAACAGGCATAGCTAACTTCAGCGAATAACACTCTTTCATAGTCACGACAGAGTGACAGGCATCATAGGCAACACAGCAGAATGATTGACGCCTACAAATACGTTAGAATTTCTGCTCATATAGCTATTGGTAGCCCCTCCCCTTTTTGTTATTTTGCTGGGTGCGTACTAGTCTCGGTCACCCAGAAACTCCTAGTCTTCAACATATTCGTAGAATATTTTTCTGGATAATAGAGACTAATAGCCTACGTGACTCATCACACGGCTTCATAGTAAGCACTGCCTAATAATATGTTAAGCAATATTCGTGCCGCGCTCGAGATCAAGGGAAAGTGCCACTGTGGATGAGAATTTCTATATGGATTCTTAAAAGACGTAAAAGATATCGTAGACAAAATGACTGTCCATTGATTTATGGTGTTATTTACTCTTACGATATGTGACATCTATGATTAGTTTATTATAGATGATGTCGGCTCACATCAATGCGATTAAGATGCCCGACAAATGAGGTGGATTAAAATTATAATCATTCTTATTGAATTGATGAATAGTCCGACAAAAGGAAAGGAATGACTTCTGTTTAAGATTAGATTGATGAATTGTCCGACAAAGGATTAAGTCAGTCAATCAAGGCAGATTAAGTAGTTAAATCAAGGTAGGTTTATACTATAGACGGTATAACACGATAAATACGTTGATCACTTAATTACCTAATAAACCCAGCGTATTATCAACGATAATCGGGTTAAGTGGTAGTTATACACTCAGTAAACTATATTAATTTCGGAATTTTGAATATTATTCACCATGTCTTGATGTCCGATTGGGCATATTCCCGGTCGGGCAATTTTGGGCGTTTGGAAAAAAGATTCGGACAAGTCCGGAATATACGGGCAAAATCCCATCACTGGTGTAAACAAGCAGCATTAGGTGGATATGGAGTTTAGTCGTGTCCTTATTGTTGATATCGTACAGTTATGTGAATTGATAAATTTGATATATACAAATCATAAACAATATCTATAGTACATCAAATATAAATATAACAGTATCTGTATCTTTGAATACAAGACAAGAAAATACAACATAGTTTTGTGAATACGCGTACTTACATCAAGTCTACGTCGACAATCGAATATTAATAATAAATTATTAATAGAATAAGGTCCGGTTTGAGAAAATCAGTTCTATAATTAAAACCCTTTTTACGTCTCACTGCGCATACCCCTATCAATACCAACATTCCTAACCGATATGCACAGGTAAGTAGATTAATGTCATCGAATTGACTTGTTATTCAATTTTAAGTTGTGCATTGCAGCATAAATTATGCATATTCAAATTCATTTATTTAAGATTGACTAGAGTTTTTTTTCAGGTTGTGTAAAATTTAGTTTTTAAGCTCAAAAACGCCTGTCATTAGGTGACTATATATTATGCTCATTGTGTGTAATGGCGACTCTCCAAAATCACAATGTCATGGTGTCTTTTAACAGAGGGGGAGTTTTATATAACGATGTACATGACGTAATAATGTCACGAGTCTCTTGATATTGTTGTTAGGAGCACGTGGCTATTAATGATAGTACGCTCCCTTCGCATTGCATGAATAGTTGTTTTGGGGCGTTTTTTTGTTATTTCAATTTTAAAACTGCATTATGTATGAGCTAAATCTGCGTAATGGAGAACTTCGTTTGACCTCAAATGTATATAAATCATTGATTAGATATTTATTCACATGTCAAACACATAATCAACTCTCAAGATGATCGGATGCTTTGATTTTCACCGGATTTAAAGTAGCTAAGTCTCTAACTCAGTATCATCCAAAACCTTCGACATTGAAAACACGAATTATTTGTCAATTTTAATCAACATTGGTGTTGTGATCTTACCGGGAAAAGATGGGCTTCTGATATCAAATATTTAAGACAAAATAAAAAAATTTACGATTGGTACACGAATCGTGTACCATAATGAGTTTCAGCGCAATTTGTAACAAGCGACCCGAAGAACGAGGTTAGACATATTCCACAAGTCACCATCGGTGTAGACTGGAATAACCAGTCGCTAGAGATTGCCATTCGATTGAGACTTCTGGCGTATTTCGCCGAACATAACTGCTTTGAAATTAGAGTAAAAACGGAAACGATTGAATGTAAATCAGTTTATTTACATTCATATTACATTATTATATACGTTGCGACCCATTTGTGTCAATTTGTAGGTCGCAAATAATAGCGATTTAGCTCCTTTAAACACGATTGCTTGTTAATATTTAAATTATAAAATAGATAATCCCGATCATTTATATCCCACGTTTTTGAACAGAACGTTAACACTGTAAACCAGCATCATCAGGTCGATATGAAGTTTAGTCGAGTCCTAATTGTTGACATCGGTGTGAACTGGTAAACTTGATGTATATAAATCATAAATAATAAACAGTACATCAAATATAAATAACACAAATAATTTGTACCTGTGAATTCAAGAAAACAAATGAGTGAACACTTACATCAGGCTTAGCAATATGTTTACTTGGGCAATCGGATATGGATTTTGAGTGACACATGCCAAATCAGTCAGATGGCCCTGTCCGTACAAAATAGCCCTTACTGTATTTGGAAATCCACATTCTATGATTAACCTGTTTTACGTCATAAGGTGTATCTATTGAAATACAAATATTCTTATCCGGTACATAGAGTTGGTAGGTAGGTAGACTATAAATGTTATCGAATTGACTGGCTATTCAATTTGGTGTAGTGTATTGTAATGTTAAGTACTCGTATGTATATGCAAAATCATTAAGACATGAAAAAATTGACCAGAGTTTTGTGAGATGTCATGATATAAGTTTAACATCTACTGAACACATCTTGTAATGTGTGTAGTATTCATTATTCTTTCTTCTCCGACTCAATAGGTGTAAAATGATATACATCGACTGGTATAATGTTGAACATTGCATATATGGCGTAACAATCTCATGAGTCTTTTGATATAAAAAAATTATGGAAGACCACCGCCGCCAAAAATACAGATTTGTTTAACCAAACTTAACGATCGATGTATTATTCATACGCGGTCTAGATCATAAGAACTGTGCCTAAGTAATAATATGACAATTAAACAATATATGTAATTTCAATCTAAAAAAAACTTTATTGATAAACAATCCACGTTTAAACCACAAACAATGACAACTATAAGTTTAATTGTTAAAGGATGTTGGAACAAAAGAACACGGTTAAATTGACAAACAATTAACGGTTTTAGCCCAAACAATCAGTGGACAACTTCTTGAACTAATGTTCAATTTGTCGACTAAAGGTTCAAAATTCAACCAAATAATGTTGATCAAAGGCAAAGTGTTTGAACGAAAGTCTACTATTTCAAGCAAACGTATTCGTCGAAAAAGGGTCAACTTTTCTGACCGAACGTCAATCTAGTCGTTTAAAGGTCAATTTTGCCTTACACATATAAACATCAACTATATCGCCGACAGAAGACCAACATCTTCAAGTTTTAATTCAGTTTTGTCGAACAAACATCTACTTCAGTTATCAAACATCGGCTATTTCTGCTAACTTTCAAACTCTTTGACGACTCAGGCACATAATTACCTCAAAATATGAAATTATTCGGTTGAGTGGTTCACTACGACCAAAGATCAACCACGTAGATCAAAGGTCTACTTTGTCAACCAAATATCAACAACACGGATCGAACGCCATGCAGGCCCATCAATTCTGTGTCTACAAATACAATTTATATCAAAAGTCTTATTTACCTAATTTCTACATTCTCAGTCAAACATTAAATTAAAATTCAGCACCAGAACTTTTCTGCATCGGTGAAAAAACTAAAAATCACTTTAATTTTTTAGGATGGTTTAATTAGTAGTGTAAAATATAATCGACACAACTTATCTTTATTCGAGACTAACACGGGTTACGTTTCTTGATCTTCTAAACCCATTGTCCGTGTTCTAAAAGTGTCCCTTTTTATTCGCTGGAAGAGAAGTAAAAACATTATATGTTTAGCAAAGAATGTTTTCTGAAATCGGGTATCTGTCGGTATGTCCCCTTCAACAGACCTGAAAAACCATCCTGCTAATAACCACATCCATGTTAATGCTTTGATCTATGTCTAAACAAGATGCCCTCTCACAAAAATTGTGATTTTTTAGATTTGTTTACATTATTGAGCACTTAATGATGATATGGACGTTGACCCAAGAAAATCTGCCCGGCGTTCCTTTTGGTTGTACTGGTTTCCCGACTGTGACGCAGAAAAGGGCAGCGGTGGCAGATTGTATTATGTCACCAAACAAATCTTATGGAAAGAGTGACCATACTTATAACATTTATATCATTTATTGTTAAAATATATTTGGACCACTAGATCTAAGAGGGGATAGTTCTATTCTATATGATAATTTATAAGATTATTTTGTAAATTATTTAAATTATATGTTAAAATTGCATCTTGATTCATACACATATTCGGGATGCATTTTATATGAACTTGCTGGAAACATCGGTCATTGGCACCGAAATCGACAATGGTATTAGTCAGATTCTTAAACATTCCCGGGTTAACACTTAATTTTTAATATCCGTAAAAGGGGAGAGAAGAAATTATGAAGACCTTTAATTGTTATACTCTGAGTTAAACTACTTGTCTGCTTTTTTTTGAGAATTCGCATCTAATAAAAAGAAATACAAAGAACATTAATATTTATAATGTACCCTATACCAATGATAGCTTCCCAAATATGACACGCCTGTTATATTTTAGAATTAAATTAACTTCAAAATGATCATAAATGATTTTTTTCAGAATTTTACTTTTGATCTGTATGAAAATATGTTTAATACTGGTAGATGACCTGCTCGATTTTTCACTATGCAAGGGCTAATGAACCTATGTTTTTTTATCCGCAATTCCCCTAACAGACTTCTGTATACCTCCAGATCCTCCCGCCAAAAAATCACAAATATTCACATTCCAACTATGTAATTTTTAAAACTAATAAGACATGATGCATTTGAATTTTTGTTTCCTTTTTTCAGGAATGTTTCAATTAAATCAGCTCATCCTAATCCTCATAGCAGTTTTTCCCATATCAGTTTCTGGATATTCCCAATCTAAGGTAAGCTAATATGCAGCGACATGCGCAATAATTTAATTTAGCGTGCGGCTAGAGACAGAAATGATCATTTACCTTTGTTTATATTCTTAACACCTAATAAATGAGTATAGAAATTTTACCAAATTTATAACAAAAACAGTTGGGGTTGGTTAATCATCAGGCATATTTATTAATTTATTAGTGATCGTCATTAGATCACATTACCTATCATTGTGAACCACAAATATACAAACGCGTAAATGTGGAATGGGGGGGGGGGGCAAGAAATAATAATAGTCGGTCTCAAAATGAGTGCTGTCATTGGAGTAGGACTCAGAATTATACATCGGTGACTAAATGAATTAATGAGGTAAACAAACAATGTACGTTCTTGCAAAGTTCTTAATAAATAACACGAATTCCCATGCCTTGTACTAAATTTTACTCATGTGATAAGTGTTTTCTGACCAATAGAATTCTGTAAAATCTTTCCCCAAAGTCCAGGAAATGGCTTTTCAGGGACTCTAGATTCAAAAATTCCTCAGGGGGGAGCATGCCTCCGCCCCCTTAGAAGCGTGCACCTGGCATGGCTGCGACACTCGTATTAAGGGCCTGTGCATCAGTCGGTCTCATTTTTGCTAAACACCCCCCCCCCCCTCCCCCACGCCCAACAAAATCGTTTGTACGAACCAACAAATAAAGACGTCACACTGGTTTTCTCATTTTAACTTATGTGTCCATTTGATTTGGACTGGTGTAAACGCAAGACCTGGATTTCACGCTTTGTTAAAATCATATCTTAATATCTTGGTATTTTTAGGCTGGAACTTACCAGACGAAGGATGGGAAGGATTGTCTTCTGTGTCCTCCAGGCTTCCACATGAATGAACCCTGTGTCACTTCGGGTGAGGAGTCCTCGTGTGAACAGTGTCCCATTGGGCATTACATCACAGATTATAACAATTCCTCGAAATGCCAGGCGTGTATCACTTGCCAAGTGGGTCAAATTGAGAAGGAAAAATGCAAACCTACAAAGGATACAGTGTGCGAGTGTCCATTAGGAGAGTGGTGGAAACTTTTATCTGGTGATCAGGGAAAGTGTGCAGCACATTCCCTGTGTAAAGATGGGGAAACGGTTTTGAATAAAGGTAAGTAATTGATATTCTTTTAAAGGGAATTTAAAGTATAATCGACACTTTACCTCGCGAGTTACGAGGTAGGTTTAAGAGGGCATTTATAGAGATGGTTCAAGGGCATTTTAAAGAGATTTAACGTAGTAGGACCTGAATGAAAAGCTAATCTGTTAGGGAGGTTGGGCTCGTCGGACGAGAATTTTTTTAAATACCAGACGTGACTTGTTGATCTGACATATATCTCCCGGGTCAGAAAGTCACCTTTATAGATAGCGCACTCCCGTCCTATAACCAGAATATAGGACCAACGCTATGAAAACATGGCTTTTGACAATTTCAATCATGATCTAACTGAAGTTTTCAGGCTATTAAGTCATACATATCGGACAATAGCTAACTTGTTTTCTCTGCCGAACGTTGGTGTTCCAGGGTATGAATAGTCCGTAAAATCTTGGGTCACCAGTTTTGGATGCCTTGGGTGGGCTGATTGGCCCACTAGTCAATATGTAAAAACAAATCCCTTTATATGCTTCCCAAATCATTTCAAAGCACTCTTTTATTGTAAATACTATAAGTACGTAGAGAAATACACAAAGAAAAGATAGTCTTTTACTCTAGAGATAGCAGAGTTAGTAATTCTGGTGACGACGCAAATACTTTTTGGTCCAGTGTGTAAACTACTTTTAATTTAGCATGGACGTAACATTGTCTTAGCTTCTAGTACTGTTAAATCAGATAAAATCTTTTAATACATCCACTACTGGATCAACTACCTTTTTTATAACTGACCAGAACAAGAAATATTTACTAAAACATAAACAATGTTCGGTTTGTCATACTTTTCCCACCAATCTTTTACCATAACATTTTCTGTGTTAACATTCATTTAGGTACACCATTTGCTGACACCGTGTGTCAGTCAACACAAAAATGTCCTAAGGGAGGTTCGTATTTTTTTATAATATCGTTAAAGGTACACTGCCGAATTTAATGCCCTTGTGATTTGTTACTTTTAAATCCATACACTACAGTATAAGGCCTGTTTTCCATGTACGCATTTTCGCCGGCGAAAAGGTCGGTATACTGCAAATATAATGGAACCGACGACAACGCGTATATGGAAAGCTGGCCTAACGCATATAATGATAACGTGTGTATCTGCTTACTCTGTAAATATTACATTTTGATCGGAATAAGAATACAAGTCCTATAAATACCAGTGAAATCTAACAACACTTTTGCATCCACGGTAATAATATAGCTGTAATGATAATATCTCTTCAAGACGGTGATTTAATTTAAAGTTTCGGTACCTCCCGACAATTTACAAATTTTGGGTAGGGTAGGTGTTGCCATAGGTAATCTCCGAGCATAATGTAGAATCATATTGAAATTCGATGTCATGTAACTATTAATTTACTTTTTGTTGTTATTCAATTTTTACACATAAGGATGGAGCACATCCAAAATTTGAAAAATAGGGCTTATGCAATGATTAATCGGAGAAGTAATTCCCTTCTTTTAAGAAACAAATACCTCCACCCTCCTCGACAAACATGTTTGGGTTAGACAGAAAAGTATCTAATTTCTTGGAGATCTGTCCCTTAGACATGACCGATATAAGATAAAGTATAATATCTACACTGTATTTTTAAAAAATTTACAAGAAATTAAAATCTAGCTCATTCTTTTTTTATTTCAGGTGGAACAACGATCTCTTTTAACGCGATACTGTTGACAACTGTTATTTTTTACCTTTCTACCCATAACCGACTACATACTGGATAATGATCCAATTTAAACTTCACTTTAAATTTTCTGTAGTTACCTAACCCTGTCTGAATTACCTCCCTTATTTTTTATGCTTTTACAAATACACTTACACTTACATAGTACGATTTCTTCAGCTTACCTGATTTGTATTTCTTGTGTGGGGTATTATATTAATAATATATTATAAATTGTACAATTACATAACTTAATAATTCCGATTGGTCGCTAAAACTTATAGTTTTTAAGCTTTTAACGTTATTTTATCTGGATTATCGCCCTTATTATTGTGATTATCGCCTTCTAAGATATGACGTCATTCCCAAAATAACGCCGCTACTCAGCAGACGACTGTCTCTCGAGACAGTCTACATTTTCCTTTTGCTTCTTTGTATTCAGTTTTGTTTTTGTTTTTGTGACGGATGGAACATGTGCCCTATATGTATTGAATACTGAAACGTTTCTTGATTAATTTTAGAGCATTTAGGTTTGGACTACCTTTTTTATACATTTCACCGATATGGTTACTTGTATAGTTGAATTTTACTACATATGCTTGGTTTTGGTTTTTATAAAGTTCTGCCCCATGCTAACGTTTTGTATACAAAACTTTTAATACTGTATCATGGATTTAGCTGTTTCAAGTCATAAAAATTCATTGAAAATCAATATACTTGTTCGTCTCAAGATCATAAACTCTGTGTATCAATCTGAAGTCAATCGGATATTAACTTTGGCCTCTAGAGCGTCCACAAGATTTTTTGAAGTGATCAAGGGCCATAACTTTGGCAGTAATTATCAGAAATCTTTGAAAATCAATAGGATTCTTCGCCTCGTGACATCAAACACTGTTTATAAATTTAAAGTCAATCAGATATTAACTTTAGCCTTTAGAGCATCCACAAGGTTTTTTTGAAGCGATCAAGGGCCATAACTCTGGCAGTAATTATCGAAAATCACTGAAAATGAATAGACTTCTTCAACTCATGACCTTAAACACTGTGTGTAAATTTAAAGTCAATCGGATATTAACTTTGGCCTCTAGAGCGTCCACAAGATTTTTTGAAGTGATCAAGGGTCAAAACTCTGGCAGTAATTATCGGAAATCGCTGAAAATCAATAGTCTTCTTCATCTCATGGCCTTAAACACTCTATATAAATTTAAAGTCAATCGGATATTAACTTTAGCCTCTAGAGCGTCCACAAGATTTTTTGAAGTGATCAAGGGCCATAACTCTGGCTGTAATTATCGGAAATCGCTAAAAATCAATAGGCTTCTTCGTCTCATGACCTTAAGCACTGTGTATAAATTTAAAGTAAATCGGATATTAACTTTGGCCTCTAGAGCGTCCACAAGATTTTTTGGAGTGATCAATGGCCATAACTCTGGCAGTAATTATCGGAAATCGCTGAAAATCAATAGGATTCTTCGTCTCATGACCTTAAACACTGTGTGTAAATTTAAAGTCAATCGGATATTAACTTTGGCCTCTAGAGCGTCCACAAGATTTTTTGAAGTGATCAAGGGCCATAACTCTGGCAGTAATTATCGGAAATCGCTGAAAATCAATAGGATTCTTCATCTCATGGCCTTAAACACTCTATATAAATTTAAAGTCAATCGGATATTAACTTTAGCCTCTAGAGCGTCCACAAGCAATTGTGGACGCCGGGCGGGCGGACGGACGGACGGACGGGGGCGACGACAATATACGACCACATTTCAATGTGGGCGTATAAAAAGTACAAAATTGTGCAGCTAGGCTTATAACACAGGCAAAACAGTCCTCTCATATTATTCCAATATTGTACAGTCTTCGTTGGTTACCGATTCAATATAGAATTAAGTTTAAAATTCTGCTTCTTACATACAAATATCTCAACAACCTCTGTCCTGCATATTTATTAGAACTTCTTGAATAAAATAAAACCAAGTACGAACAATCCAAACCATTAGACAAAATTCGAAGTCCTAAAAAGACGGCATAGCCAAAATGGTGTAATCAGCTAATGGATAACCCTAAACGCAACCTCCGCTCTTCCTCTGAGCCATTTCATCGTGTTACACGCTATGCAAATTTGGAACAAATTACCACTAGATATTAGAACATGTTCACCCTTGCCTACTTTCGAAAAGTATCTAAAAACACACCCTTTTAAAGAAGCTTTTATATAAATATATTAAATGTAACATTTATATATACATGTTTTGTAACTTGTGTTTTACATGTACTTAAATGTATTCTGTATGCTTTATCTTGTCATTATTTTACATTGCTGCGTATTTGTATAATTATTTTTACTGTAACCCTTTTATTTATACATGAATGTACATTTTTATATTATGTATCTTTTAATTGTGTACAACGCATATGGGCACCTAACTGTGGAAGCTATGTTCTTTATAAATTTTTAAATAATAATAATAATAATAATAATAATGTCAAGCAGGTTACATATCCCGTAAAAGTATAGAGGTGAAAAGAATATAAATACTAAAGCAATTATATAAAAGTACAATTTTCCATCTACATGTATGATAGTTTTTAATTCCGTTGATTAAATGTTCATAATATATTCATTATACAAAATAAAGTTCTTTTATATTTCACATGTTATTGCATATCATATCATGTATGTTTGTGTCCATGAACTTTTAACGGATTATCCTCTACCACTTCTATTTCCGCCAGTTGATATAATACGTTTCACCCACCAAATGCTCCCTAAGTGACTCTAGCAAACAACAAGCTGATGAGTGGCCAGTTCGTGATTCCCTGTGTCCTGTGCGCGCCCATGGGTGTTTTTCAAGGAACCCATGTCTGTCTCTACTTTGCCATACTTTTATTATAAATTACAAGCCTATAAATACTTTCCTATGAATTCAACTTTAATCAGGTTATTAAAGTAATTTAATCAATTGAACTTATATAAAAAAAAAATACAGCAAAAACATCTATAAAAAGCTTTTTTCATGACTTAACCTGCTGGGTTGAACTTTTCACAACATTACATGTTATAAAATGATATGGAAATACAAGACAAGACGGAGAATAATAATAGCATTGTGTTGATAGTTTGGACCGTTGCACCATTTGTACCACACGTTTCTGTGCAAACAGTTCCACCATACACGTCACATGTTACTTTATAACCAGTGCTGGGGTATTTCCTACACAGAGTTCCATCTTTACCACCTTCAAAATAAATATACATAGTTTTAACTAAACATCTGAAACATCTCATACCACTTCTTATTAGTGTTACGTTTACAACTCTTTGTTGTACTTTTGTATTTAAATCACTGGACTGCCGAATCTATTAGTTTCTACGCAATCGCTTTTGAAATCCAAGTCCAAACCACTATTGCGGTTATCTGGTCGAAGTTAACGTTGGCAGAGAGTACCGGATACCAGGCCCCAACTAAAATCAAGGCCCCAACTATCGTTCCGGTTAACTGCAATTAGTGAAACGTTTCGTGAACGATGACGGATAGGTTTATCTTTCTAAAACATTGCTCATTTGAAGAATTTGAAACTGATGGTTTGGGAGACACTTTTTCAAACTCTACCACTAAAACTGGAGGTAGAAACCGGATAGGCCTCAATTGTCCAAATGACCCGGCAAAATAAAGTCAGACTATGGTATAAAGTACACTGGCTTTTAAGACTATTTTTTTGGTGGAAAATACGATACATACCTTGCGCCTCCAGAAGTATCCGACAGAAAGAACTTGTATCCTGAATATCAACATTAATATTATTGTTATAGCTCTCACAATTACTATCTGTGGCATTAGAGGGGCATTCAAAACATACAAAACCTGAAACTATAGAATGATAATATTTAAACTTCAGGGTAACGTACGTGTGAATTTAGAAGAAAGCCGATATCCAAAGTACATTAATGATGCATTATGTAAGCGCTAAAACTGTCTAATGCAGTCACAAATGTTATATAAATCCTTAATTAGACATTTATCCATATTTAATTTAAAACTGGAATATCGCAACAACGTTAGCAATGAAAATCGGGACTACCCAGAATGAAGTAATTCGACTGACATTTTCAACCCATTCCCTTTTCATTATCTATTTTATACGCCCACATTGAAATGTGGTCGTATATTGCTGTCGCCCCCGCCCGTCGGTCCGTCAACCACAATTTCTTGTGAATACTCTACAGGCTACATCTACCATCTGATAGTTTTAAAATTGATATATGTTGTTTACATTAGTGAGATGAAGAATCCTATTAAATTTCAATAATTTCCGTTAATTCTTTTTGGAGTTATGGTCACTGTTTCACTTTGTTGCACATTGTGAGCGCTCTAACGACGACCGAAGAATCCTATTAAATTTCAGCAATTTCCGTTTACTGCGTCTAAAGTTATGGACCTTGTTTCACTTTGTTGAACCTTTTGAACGCTCTAACGACAAAAGTGATCACCCGATCTGTATGAAATTTATATGCATAAATTTCAGAAATTTCCGTTATGTCTAGAGTTATGGCCCTTGTTTAACTTTGTTGAACCTTTTGAACGCTCGAACGACAAATGTTATTATCCGATTTCTATGAAATTTATATGCATCATTTAAATTAGTGAAACCAAGAATCCTATTGAATTTCAGCAATTTCTCTCAATTCCTCTAAAATTATGGTCGTTGTTTTACTTTGTTGAAGCTGGTAAACCCTCAAGCGACGAAAATTATAATCTGATCTGTATGTAATTGTCTTGTAAATACCCCGAGTTACCTACAAAAGAATAAATATATAACAACCCTTGTCGTTGTCGACCGCCCGCACGATTTAGCTGCTGTGGGCGTATGTTTGGTTGCCTGGTAACCTTTTTTTGTTCTGGCGTATTGTCCCTTTAAGACAGATAATACAAGTATAAAATTCTAATTTGTTTATCTTTAACGCCTCTTAGTCGACATAAACAACCGCAAAGTTAGATGAAAAAGAATTTATGAATTATTTGATTTTACAATTAATTTTAAACACAAAATAAAAAAAAAATCGCCTGCAAGGAAAATCTTGTCGTTCGGATGGGAATTAATACGTAATCCACGTATTAATGTGGGGTACCTCGCATTACACAATGTAAACATACAAATGAAAATAAATAAAATACGTTATTATCAAAACTAATTAAGCGTCTTTTTTCTCGGCGCTTCATCCATAATACATGTTTTTGGGTGATATCTATGGTATATACGTAAATCGGTTGGTAAAGGGCAGATAAATTTAGTACTAACAAACGGACCTTTAAGGGTGGATCAGAAATATGCGTTATACTGATAAAGGATAAAACAACCAAGCTCCGTTTATTTTCCTTAGAATGCATGTTGAAATATATAAACACATTCTTTATATTTACCTGTACTGTATTCAAGATGAAGAAATAAAACTGATATAGATAATAAATAAAAACTGGACAAATTCATTATGATAAAAACACACTGTAGCTTATCACTGCAACTCTATAGTTTATACGCCTTTCTCTAGCGACCCGCGTCTTTTTTCTTTATAGTATATAAAATGGGGTTGAGTAAATAATAGACAGCGGGACTACGTGACAACCTGATGATTGGAGCCAATGAAATCCTCTGATATCCAAATATTGCGAAATTTTGATGCTTTATGTGCAAATTCATCCGATAGTATTTTAAGTTGATATATCAATTAAGCTACATGTTGAATTTAGCTATCTTGACATATTCCAATAGTCTACGTCATTAATCCCAAATATTAAACGATGCTGACATCACTCAGACTTCGCACATACGATAACGATCTAGAAAACGAGAGTAGTTTGCGCTACAAAAGTATCCAGGGTCGTAAATGTAGGGTACAAACAATGCCAAAATAGAAGGCAAAAATCATGCAAATACTTAATAATATATGTATGAATTTATCTGTGTGTGTATAAGTATGATTGATTTGATTGGATATCACAATACGCGCTAGTTTTTATACGCCCACATTTTCATGTGGACGTATATTGTCGTCGCCCCTGTCCGTCCGTCCACAATTGTTTGTGAACAGTCTACGGGTCACAATTTTTATCCGATTTCAATGAAACTTGAAATATAGGTTTATCACCCTAAGATCTCGGTTCCTTTCGATATTGGCATGTATCGGACTGTAACTTCATGGATTATGGCCCCTGATTACACGAAAAATCACGTTTTTAGCTTGTGAACACTGTAGAAGTCACAATTTTTATCTGATTTTGTTGAAACTTGAAATGTAAGTTTATAACCCAAAGATCTCGGTTCCTTTGGATATTCACGCATATCGGACTGTAACTTCCTGAATTATGGTCCCTGATTGTACGAAAAAACGCGTTTTTAGCTTGTGGGCCCTATAGAGGTCATAATTTTTATCCGATTTTAAAAACCGTATTATTATATCACCGTTACACCCTAAGGACGGCTGAGTTCGAATTTCGTGAAAATCGGCTCAAAACTGACAGACAAAATGGCCGCCCTTCGTTCTCAAATAGCGTAAAAATATGGTATATCAAGGTTTTGGACCCTATAGAGAGAGAGAGAGAGAGAGAAAGAGAGAGAGAGAGAAATGGGGTTTAACGTCCACTCGACACAAACTAGGTCATTTCGGGACTAACGTATGGTTTAATTTTATTTACATAATTCGCTTGCGCGTAGGGGTCTTTAGCAGTGGGAGGAAACCGGAGGACCCGGAGAAAACCCACGAGGTTGGACAGGCGACCCTACTCCTTGCCACGTACAACCGGGGATTCGAAACCACGCCAGTCGACTCAATGACAGACTTTATGATACAGCGCGCGCACGCTAACCATTCAGCCATCCAACCCCCCCATGGACCCTATAGAGGTCGGCGATCATTCACGATTATGGAGACCACAGCACGATATCTGGCGTTTCCACCACGCTTTTACCGCGCTTATGGCGATCTTGACGAGCTCTGCGACCATTTTCCGACGCAGTAGCGTCGCAGTAAGGACGCCACCCCAGTCTGACGGGGTAATAAGCGCGGATGCTTGTTGAATTATAGGACACAGTACTATCTTTGCTAATTTAAGTATATTTACTACAATAATATATCGAAGATATAGGTCCATAATATATTATAAATGATGTAATTATTATCACTTTCATAAGTTGTCACATATTGTCACAGATTCACAGTAGGCCTACTTTGAACGTTCTTGCAAAATTCTTAAATAACATGAATTATCATGCGTATTACTCAAGTTTACTAAGGTGTTGGACCAAAAGAGAAACGATGAAAATGTGACCATTTACTGCTTAACTTTCCCTTCACGATTTAACGATTAACTGGATAATCGAGACTATATTGTTTATCGTACTGACTTTAGTAATGATGATCGGCGGAAATTTCAATCGCTTAGTTTTCGGTTCATAGTGGATCTAATTGAATGAAATTTTCAGCACATTGCCTGTAGATTGTCTAGTTTTTAACTATTATAGTGAGGACTGCCAACTCGTTATCGAATCTCCCATAATGTATCTTTAAGCAAAAATATCCGTATTTTCAAAAAGTGTGCGCCAAAGAGAGGAAAAAATTCATGAAGAAACCGAACCAAAACACAACTATCCGGCCGAAATGTCGGAATTCTCAAAGAAACACTCCTATAGCAGCAAAGTGAGGCTTAACAAAAGCACTATAAAAGGCTACATTACATTGTGGCCTCAGTATGTCAGGTCCATGTCCAGCTGGGTCACATCCTGATGTTGTTTCTGTCGCACGCCGTCTTACCGTGCGTTTTAACAATCTGTTTCACAGAGAATTACGAGTCTTCTAATATCTCTGTAAAAGATGACTGCCTTTAACACGTGCCATCACAGCACGCGGCGTCAATCATTGGCTGAATGGCGCGTGCATTGTTTACATAAGACTTTACTGCTTCGGGCAGAATGCTGCCTTTTAGTCATTTTAATACCCATTTACACTAAATAGGAAATAATTTTTACCTACAAATACGTCAAACGTCTTTATTTATTTTCTACTACACCAAAAAAATGTTTTAGAATTTAATTTGTCGGGTGAAAAAAGTTAATATTTGAGACTCATTAAGTCGCATTGATGTCATCCTTATTAGTGATTGTAGCGGCCTCACGAATATTCACTGCTTATTAGTGTGGCGTTTTAACCCTCTAACACTAGGCTTTGCTTTACTTTTAAATATTACCAAGTGACTGGACGTATGTGACTACAAGTTTACTTTGTAGGTCGAAGGTCAAGAATTTGTACGCTGTCACGTGTAGTCAACAATCAAAATGGCGTTTCTTGTTAAAGCAATGTTATCGTTGATTGTGTTGAGTATAGTGTTAATAGAAGCAGACAGTTTAAAACAACCCCATATCGTATTTATAGTAGCTGATGATTTAGGTAAGTACTATAGTTAGATAGTGTATTGTTGTGCAATAGTGACAAAGCCGTTAAAACTATGACGTATTGATAAATTTAGTGTGGTGATAGACGTATAATGGCGCTCGGTGTTAAAGTAGCAGTGGCGGCATGAATCACCAGGGCCCCTCACCCCCTTTGAGGTGCGGCAAATTATCTAAGTGCATACCAAAAATATTCAAATGGAGGCAGAGATAGCAAATCACCGGCCATCGCTTCCCCTAAACCTGTGTGAACCAGTTCATGTTTCAGAAAATAGAGAGGGTAGAATTATTATTCCTCCAAGATATATTATAGGGTTTTTCGATCAAATCGAGGGTTGGAGGGGAAATAAACATAGTATATTTTTACATATAAGTTGATTCAATGAATAGTTATTTAGATAAAGTGTTAAAAGTATTAAAACAATTGTATTTTAAAATTTCTTTAACCATAAAAAGCCAACTGAGTGTAGGTACTGAACAAAGCAGTTACAGTAGGCAAGGCTGGGGGGGGGGCACTGAAACTTTTGCCCTGGGGCTCTACATAGGCTTTTGGGGGCCCTGAGGACACGCCCTGATTCGGTCAAAGGTCGTCAGATGTAAACAGGGCAATCGCTAACCCCAACCCTAAACCTAACCATGTCTACACCTCGAGACCTTGACGAAATCTACAGACGACAGCCCTTACCCTAACCCAAAATCCACGACGAAATTAACAAAGAGACCTAATTTAACATCTTCATTTAGACATAACCTAAAGGCATTTCTTTAGGCCTTAAATGTTATATAACTTATTAATTAGAAATTTATTAACATGCCAAGGCCATAATCAATTCTTTAGGGCATTGATGGCTCCGATTTTAAGTATATTATAACGGTTCGGCCATTTAATGATTTTATTTAAAGTCTCAAACAACCAGTACGGTGGTTAGGTTAATAACAAAACTACAAACATTGATAACTTCGCTCAGAATAAAGTAATTTGAATGAATTTTCAATACATTCATTTTGCATTATCTATTTTTGAACTATTATCTGAATCATATACCACGTAGCTTTAATTATTGTCAGCAGTTTATACAATGATAACTGGTATTTATCCTTGCCCCAATTACTTATATAGTGATGGTATTGGATATTTATCCTTGACCCAATACTTGATCAGATTACGTGTATTTAAAGTTATTTAAAGTGACGAATAATTTCAGTTTCACTATTTATTCTTTTCGTGTATCAAACGAAGGACCCAAGTTGTTTATGTATATTAACATTGTATTTTAATGTACATTTTCACCAAATCCTGTACGGAATTCCCCCTACTCTATGATCAAACGAAGGACCTAAGTTGTTTATGTATATTAACATTGTATTTTAATGTACATTTTCACCAAATCCTGTACAGAATTCCCCCTACTCAATAGATCGTTACGCGTTTTGCATCAGCCAAAAGGCCTGTCATGGAATATGATCATCTGAACGTTTGTGATTAACACTGGGTATTCCTGTTTCCCCACACTTCTAAACAGCTTGCCCTCATACCAAATCATAATACCGCACCTTATCGACCATCCTTTGTGGTCTGTAGGTCTAACTTTGATACACTCGCCCTTTATTCCTCCTTTATATTGAAAATAACAATATATTATTATGTATTATGTAATACTATGCCTAGTATTAAGTGCTATGCGTCGTTGGTCAGATGTGGAAAGCCAGTAAACCGAAAACTTCCCACATCAAACGTGTGACGCATACTCTGTTCTGCTACATATTTTAATAGCCTTGTGATCGTCTTGTATATGTAATTCTCTTCTTTGGAGTCCTTTTCACGTTGTATATTTTCTTCTTACTATCTCAGTAGTTAAGACGTTTGTTTTACCGGGAATAACAATGCATCAGTTCGCTTCTACATTTTATATCAATCTGGATACATATGGTTAAAATGCATAATTTACAATAAAATTCTTAAAAATTAACTTGTCTTTCTCTCCTACCCCTAACTCACAGATGAGTTTGGGGGGTTGGGTGGCTGAATGGTTAGCACGTGCGCGCTGTACCATAAAGTCTGTCATTGAGTCAACTGGCGTGGTTTCGAATCCCCGGTTGTACGTGGCAAGGAGTAGGGTCGCCTGTCCAACCTCGTGGGTTTTCTCCGGGTCCTCCGATTTCCTCCCACTGCTAAAGACCCCTACGCGCAAGCGAATTATTGAAATAAAATTAAAAACCATGTGTTAGTCCTGAAATGACCTAGTTTGTGTTGAGTGGACGTTAAACCCCATTTCTCTCTCTCTCTCACAGGTGAGTTTACTGGCGGCTACATCATATGACTCTCCTACAAATCAATGGGGTCTACTCATCCCAGCTCGTATCTCTTGAACCTCGGTGGTCTCTCCCGAGTTTAGCGGCTGTCTAACAGTAAGGAATCTCCATGATGTCTAAAATCTATAGGACCTAAATCAATCTTACAACATAGACAGTATCCTCGTTCTTTTATATTAGATTTCTTGCAAACTTTCTCATAAGCGAGTGAACCGGCATGTTGTTGTGAACGTAAACAATGGGGCTAAGATAGGTTTGTAAACTGTTTTTGATTGGTTCGTAGAATCAAGCTACGATCAGGGGCAGATAATATGAATACGCGAATATATCTCATGGATGAACCCAGGATATAGTGGAGTAGAACGGAATAAGACCACTGGAGATGCCTAGGATTCTAGGATTAGACAACTCGTGCTATTAGTCTGTGCCTTTTAATAAAGAAATTATTAAAGTATAATACAAAATTTATTTTCAGGCTGGAATGATGTAGGCTTCAGAAATCCTTCAATGCTAACGCCCAATATAGATAAACTTGCACGTGAAGGGGTTATTTTAAACCAATCATATGTCCAGCCTGTGTGTACACCGTAAGTACAATTTAGAAAAAAAACCATATACGTTATTATAAAGGGACAACTATACAGGGCTACGTATAGTTTAGACACTGCATAATTATAGAGTATTGCTCGTAATGCCGAGCAAAGAGAAACTATTACATACTGTACTATCACGTGCGACTATTCCTGTTTAGCTTCAATATCGGTTTCTCCCCAGTTCAGCTACAGGTAATGGCTACAGTAAACATGTCAATTTTCATTTGATAGATCAGGGAAAACATTTGCAGCTTACACTTACCTACCTCTTGCACTTCCTTAAATGTCTGCCAACAGGAATTCAAGATTGCGAATGTCTTTGAACCCTGTTAATGTGGCTATTCAGAGCATAAAGGCGGGACTGGGCTGACCATACAGGCATTGTGACAATTGCTTTTAGGCTGAGAACGCAAGGTAAAAAAGGACCGCTGGACTAGATAAAAATACTGTCGAAAAATCATTAATAAATAATGAGCCGACCTGTGAGAGATGCTCGGGCTGGTTTTAACATCCTTCTAACTACTGCATAAAGGTGACTTTTGGGGAAAGCCATTATCTAATTATAATTTACTTTACAGATCACGATCAGCCTTTATGAGCAGTGTTTTCCCATTTAAATCTGGTATACAGGTAGGGAATATTAGATAATTATTTTTAGCCAACCTCTGTTGTAATAACGGTTGTAACTTTTATCATTCTTACTGCAATAAACGTTTTTAATGTATATGAAATGAATCAGAATTTAACCAATCGGTTTAAAAATGTGTTTTTAATTTTCACTATTTATATCTTTTATGTTGATTAAAATATACGATATTATTGTATTACCGACATAGCAATATAAGTTATATCGGTGATTCTATGAATTATATGGCATTGCTGTTATCTACGTTTATTATTGCAGCATTATGTATTAGAAAGTGGACAACCGGCATGTTCGTCATTGAACTATACGTTTTTACCACAAGAATTAAAGAAACTGGGATATTCAACTCATGCAGCAGGAAAGTATGTAATACGATATCAAAACTTTTAATATTTAATTTCGTTTGACTTTACCATCATTGTTTTCAAAACTTCGCTGTATTCCTAGTAGTACAATTTCATTAATGAACTATGTGGTATGAGGTAAGTATAGTTTACCATTTTAACAGTTGAGTGTAGAGAGGGGCCCGAGGAGTCTACGGATCTGTTCATTCATTTCAGGTTTGTGTCCAAACAGATATTAAATCATCGCAGCTAACTTTGTGTTCAAGCTGCCATACTTGAATATGTTTTTTTTTTTACATTATTCAGAATGTCCTCCTTGGCTTTCAAACAGTCTTCATTACCAGGCCATATACTTGATTCTTTGGGGGCCCACATTCAGCGAGTTGGCCCGGGGCTTCACCAATCATCTGTACACCACTCAATTTATATATATAGTATACTGTTTCTATAATTAGCTATGTGACATGTTGTAAAAATATATGTAGTCTATAAATCTTATTATTCTGCTTCTATTATTAACAATGTGACGTGTAGTAAATGTCAATAAAATATATTTATTAGGTGGCATCTGGGATTCTGTAAATGGGCGTGTACCCCTACATTCCGAGGTTTTGATACCTTTTTTGGCTTTTATGGCGGTGGCGAAGATCATTTTACTCATTATACCGGTAAGATAAATCATATTTATTTTAACAGCCGTGTTAATACCACACATAACTTTTAAAAACAAGCTGTTGCAGTAGTTATTGTAAACTGATTTTAAAATAATTTCAAATAAAATGCTGAATTTAAATCAATAATAGTATTGTTATCGAGGACCGACTTTTTAGAATGTACATATTGATTTTTGTAGTCTGACATCAGACCAGTATTATGATGACATCTGGGTAGTCTCAAATAGCCAGTTCGTGCCTTAACAGAAGTTTATACAGAGTTGAAACGTCAATATCATATATTATCAAAAACTAGCAGAGGTCATAAAGTTCTAAGCACCTAAATGATGTTCAATTTGATGAAAGTTATAGAGTACTTTGTCACGAGACAATTGCATGTATGATCATGAGTCTTATCTATTTTCCGGCACTATATAATCCGGAGTTTACTGACAGTTACACAGATCATACGTAGTTTGTCAATGACATATGGGATTAATTACATGTTTAATTAGATCATAGCCAGTTCGTGCCTTAACATAAGTTTACACAGAGTTGAAACGTCAATATCATATATATCATAAAGTTGTAAGCATCTAAATGATCGTTCAATTTGATGAAAATTATAGAGTACTTTGTCACAATTATAACTTTATCTGACCCCCGTCAGACTGGTACTTAGGTGCCAAAAACAATTTTAGAAGACTACACCATCGAAAGTTGTATATTTATTTACAGGAGGATATTTGGATTACAGAGACCAATTTCTACCAGCTACAGAATACAAAAATGTATTTTCTGCTGTAAGTTGATTATCCATTTGTTGCAAAAATTATCTGCCAGGATAAATGAAATGGGGTGTAACGTCCTACTGTTCTGCCCCGACTGGTATAATGAAGACGGGCATACGTCATACAGTGTGCTATGGGGGAAATTGTGCCCGGGCACAAGGGATCTTTTACGTGTACGCCAATGTATTCACGGGACGTCTGCCAAGATAAAAAAGAAACTACCCCTAACACCCCTTCAGGTCAGATTGACTTTTACTTAAATTGTCGTTCGGTTGCGTTTTTGTTTGTGGAGTGTATCCTACTCAATTTAAAGGGATATATCCTTTGGGTTTATTTGAACGGTCCTACTGACAAAAAGTTGTGCATTGTACTGGACACTGATGTTTTGCAAAATCATGTCATTCAATTTTTTTCTCAGATGGCCCATACAGAGCATGCAGTTCGTGCTATCAAAAGCCATAATCAAAGTCAACCATTTTTCCTGTACATGCCGTACCAAGTAGTTCACGCTCCAGTTCAGGTAGGTTAATGGTTATTACTACGGGGATCATTGACAACAAGTGCAATATAAATGAACTAGAAAACTTACCACACTCTTAAGGGTGCTGTGAATTGCTAATCATCTTTTCTTTCGTGTTTTTTCTTTGATCTGAATATAAATAAAAACAAAATTGAACCCGTTATTTACGCGTACATTGATTTTTATAAATTTGTTTATTCTATTTTATAAGGTGCCCAAACAATATGAAGACATGTATCCTAATGTAATGAATGAAGGTAGAAGAAAATTCTGTGGTAAGTCTATAATATTAAAAAAAACAATGCACGAAATGACAATGTTCAAATGTCTACAACTTTGATTATGTGAATACTGTGTGTTTGTTATGCTAGATTCCCGCTGTCGTGCGATACGTTACCATTCTTATTTGATCGTGGAATTATTGTATACTTCTCTGAAATTTCACGTTTGGATACGACGTAATGAGAGTCGATCAAACGTTCTATTACGATTTGGTGCCCTTAATGCGCTATGATCACTGGGCTCCATTTGTTGTCACGATCTGGTCTCCCGTTCAGATACGATCAGGTAGTTACGTTCCGAAAGGATTGTCCCAATTGAGTCCACGATTGGTGTCAATGCAGATACGATCATACAGGAACCGTCGCGCTCTGTTGCAATAGAATACGATTGGAGTCGCGATGTCTTTGATGATAGGGACCGAGAGTGATGACAATTTGAGCTACGATTGGAACCCAACGGGTATATATACAGCCAAACTGTCCACGGTCTGCATTTTCTCCCGCATTTCGCTCAACAGAGCGTGGTGTTTGTCTTTTCCAAGGCTGATCCCGATCACCATGATTTGGAAGCATGATTAGATGCTATCTGTTGCGCTTTGTTGCGATCCATTTCGATCTGATGCGATTATCACCATTGACAATTAATCGTGGTGTTCGTAGAATATTTTTGAACCGTCCAAAACTTTTCTACGTTCAACACGATTTTCAGGACTGGCTTCAAGATAATATGATAAGACCGGATAGGATCACTACGATTACTCCCCGGTTAAGAACACGATTTCGATCGTAGCATGAATACTCATAGTGGGAACTGAGCATTAGATAGTAGCCAGCTTCACCATCAGTTTTAGTCCATATTTCCATTGATGTAGTAAGCTTTTGCTAATTAAACACTAATATAAAGGTCTCAGAGTTATTAAGGTTTTATCTTTGCCCGCTGTTCTCAAATATAGAACGGCATTATGGTTATCAGTTGTCTATAGAAACAATAAATGAATGTAGACCTTAAATATGAGTAATCTAGTTGGTAGGACCAAGTCCAATAGAGTGTTGACTATTTTGGCACCTTTTACAAATCAATAAGCATCATAATAACTCCTCTTCTTGTTTCCTGTGTATTTTCAGGCATGGTATCTGTGTTAGATGAAGGTGTAGGTAATATTACCCAAGCTTTAAAAGATGCCGGCATGTATGACGATACACTGATCATCTTTACTGCTGATGTAAATATTAGTTTAGTTTTCTTAGCATAGTTTTAATATCAACAGATATGCATTCTTTGTTAAGATTCTAAGGTTTCCAATTGTATTAGGTTATGGAGATTATTTAGAGCACGAACAGTTCTAAGTTTACCATCTTATGACTATTTAGTATGTTCAGCAAAACTGCCAAGGTTCGGCATCAGAATCTTCATGCTCTACATGTTTGTAAACCAAGTTCAACACTCACGTCTACCTAAAAACTAACATGAATCCGCAGTTAGAATGTATGAATGTGGTGGAAAGGTGTTGAAGATTCGTGTTTAGGAATGATAATGGATACCAAACTTGTTATTTCTGCTCTACGATTTTAATGTCACGATTACTTCTCAGTACATAAAATGTTCTTCGAGCCTGTTTACAGTGATAACGAATGTCTCCTCCATTTTATTTGTCATTCCTAGAATGGTGGAGAGCTTTTGGGTAATTTTGCGAACAACTGGCCACTACGAGCAGGTAAACATACTGTTTATGAAGGGGGCACTAGAGGAACAGCTTTTGTACATGGCAGTATGTTACAGAAAACACAGTATACTTACAATGGGTAGGATATTTTCAATATATCTATTTCTTTGTGGTCGTTAGATTGGTAATTACCAGTTCTGATCTTCCGTCTCGTTCATTTCAACAGTATCACCCACCATCTACATAATCTAACTCTACAAACACTACTTCCATCAGGGTTCATTAATACGACAACAACGACCTTAATTTATATCCACAACTAATTTATATCCGAATTCTTCTAACAGCTTATTTGTACTTATAGTAGAGACGTGTGTTCCGTACAATTACTTAAGTACAGGCATGATGGTATTACCCACCAGAGTCAAAACTGAGATCGACCCTAAAATATAATTTTATGCATTCGGTGCACAAAGAGAAAATACCAACTCCTACCAAACCCGTGTGTTTCTCTATTTAGGTTACAGATCTATTAAATAGTAGTCAACAGAAGAACAGGACTAAAGGGTATATTGGTTATTCGAATATGATTGTTAACACATATTATATGTTTTAAATTACAGAATGATACATGCTGTTGATTGGATGCCAACCATTATGTCGGCTGCTGGTGGAACTCCTAGTAAGTCGAATATGTGTTTAGTCTAATTATATGAAACGTTTTTGTCGATGTCCTGGTATGCTAAACAATCCTTTTGGTATTTCTTGAGAAATACGACCTTTTAGCAAACAATGCGTGGTTTAAAAAAAAACACCACGCATTATTTGCTAAAGTTAATGCTATGAATGGAGAGACTAGATCGGCGAGCCCACCAACTCTCAGTTACAAAGCAGAAGTGGTCCAGAATTGTGTTCAAAAGGCCAAACTTCCGGTAGTAGCGATCCCTAAATCGGTTAAAAATCGAAAGTTGACACTTTACGCTATGCAAAAATCTCGAAATGCTGATGAACGATAGCTTGAGATACTACCTCGAGAGTAACCAGCTGCTAGACAAGAACTAAAGCGGACTTCTATATAACCTTCTTGAATATCAGAATGAGAAATTACAGAGAGTTTTGAAAATTCCGCAGCGCGGTTTCTTACAGAAACGAAAAAAATCAGAACACATCACCCCGAGAGAATCAAGTTCAAAATCCTACTAACAACTTATAAGCTCTCAACGGAACTACACCTCAATATCTTTGTGACTTAATAACTCCACATAATATATCAACCAGAAGTCGTATCGAAACAGAGAAGTCAAGGCTCCACTAACCTACAACCAAGCTTGAAATGACAAAGGGGTCATTTTGGTATTCTGTGCGGTTAAACAATCAACCTCAATAATAATTTTCATCCGCACTGAATGGGAAAACTCCCCTGTGGAACTCAACAGGTACAGATTTAGATGTGATGAGTCCTTAAACGCTAAGTTAGTTGTGAACCATCCGAGCAGGAACATCTGCCGGTTAATAACAAAGCTGAAGGTGACAGAAACGCTCAGACATCGTACCTTTAAACATCCAAGGCGTAGTTGCGACATGGGCGTATCCCCAGCAGATATTCTAGTGGACTGTAATCGCCTCGCGGCAGAAAGGAGACCTCTCAGAGTAACACGGCACTCTACTCTATCACAGGGTAAGCAGACACGAGATCTAGGCGCTAATCTACAATTTCGAGTGTGAGATTGGTATCCAAATCTGTGATGATCTAGGAGTTAAAGTACGATTTCGTGAGTGAGATTGGTATCCAAGTCTGTGAGGACTTGAGATTTACCCCAAGACCCAACGGATGGGATCCATAAGTGATCATCAAGAGGGCTACTGCTACGTGAAGGGATGTCAGTTGTCCTACGGGGTCCGTTTTTTGGTAAGGCTAATGGCACGACAACGCCTGGGCTAGTGAATGTTTGCTTGCATCCCTTGGACCTAAGTCACGCAGGGGGCGGGTCCCTGAGCCTAGCTGCCAATCAACTCTACCTAAGTGGCCTAGATAAGATCATAGCATTGATGGCAAAATGGGCGCCCACCCCACGCTCACCAAATTTTACTTGGCTGCAAAATCGATTGTGTCTTTATTAAGGAAACGAGATCGAATAGGCCTTCTAATCAATCTCACGTCTCAATCCCAAGCTGGACTAAGCCTATATTGTCGCTTTTCTGGCAAGTTTCTTGTGTTGGGAAATGCTTGTCTACGATATCATCCAAGGTGGAAGCGGGCGTAAAACCCTACGGAAGAACGAATGAACGTTACTAAAGCCAGCAGAGAACGGAATTCAACAAATACCGTTATTACTCGATTTTAGACATTATTTTAGTTATACAACGCCATCACCATAAACTACATAACACTGAAAGGATACATTAGATTGCTTCCAGACACCTTCTTCGTGAACAAATAGGAGGTTACAGTGTTCAAGTTACCCGGTTCTCGAGGGGGGGGGGGGTAGCGAGTGCGCGTTGTATCATTAGGTATGTCATTGAGTCAACTGGCGTGGTTTCGATTCCCCTGTTTTACGTGACAAGGGGTAGGGTCGCCTGTCAAACCACGTCGGTTTTCTCCGGGTCCTCCGGTTTCCTCACACTGCTAAAGACCCATACGAACAAGCAAATTATGTTAGTTTGTGTTGGGTGGACGTTAAACTCTCTCTCTATATATATATATATATATCTCTCTCTCTCTCTCTCTCTCTCGCTCTGTTCTAGATATTGTCGGGCTGTTAATTTTTAGAAGGGGAAAAACTCTGTTGTTACCTACAAATGGATTAAGTCTAGCAATTCCCTCCCTTTTAGCTTTTGTCAAATCCATGACATATCTTTGCGTATAATAGTTTTTCTCAATTTTATCCTAGGTCTTGTCGAAGAATTCCATAGGTTGTAACGTCATTTTCATAGACGATTTCCGTAATACTTCCTAATCATTCCGCCTCAAAATTGTGACTATTGACCAAAACCTGACCGAATATTTTTAATTCTAGACCAGAAAGTCGACAGAAATTGCCATGTAAAGGGTTCAAAAAAAGGGAAAAGGGATTGCCCTAAATAGCCGATTGACGGATACTGAAATTGGGAAACAATTACTAGCCATAGCTCAATTGTATATTGGCAATTTGGCTGAAAGTGCCTACTTAAGTCTGAACGTGCCTACTTAAGCCTAGAATGACAGGGCAATATCTTAATTCAGTTGCTCGTGCCATGTTCACTTGTTGAAAGACTTCTGCGTAATAAATATAAGAATTTTAGAGATGATGATTTTCACCCAAGTTTTCAATCATTTTTTGTGTTTCTATAGTAACTGATAGAGATGGTATTGATCAATGGGAATCACTACAGTCAGGTTCACCATCTAAACGGTCTGAATTTATTTATAATATAGATGATTTCCCTGAACCTCTAGAAGGTCATGCAGCCATACGGTAAGAAAAAACGATATGAACCGATATTTTTCCCTTGCTTATGTTTGCTGATTAATTGTACGAATACATGATATATTCTAGATATGGTTCCAAAATAAAACTCTGAAATAGAAATTGGGATTATAAACCTGAAGACATTGGAGAAATCATGTTTAAATTAATATATTCATATTGTAACGACATTTTGATCAATTTTAGAATGGGAGACATGAAATTAATAGAAGGTTACCCAGGACGCTATGATGGCTGGTATTTACCTAACAATAAAACAAAGACTCAGAAACTTCACATGATACCATATTTTACTGGTGATAGTCCTGTACAACTATATAATGTTATAGGTGGGTAATGTACAACTATAATGTTATAGGTAGGCGATATACAACTATATAATGTTATAGGTAGGTAATGTACAACTATATAATGTTATAGGTGGGTAATGTACAACTATATAATGTTATAGGTGGGTAATGTACAACTATATAATGTTATAGGTGGGTGATACACAACTATATAATGTTATAGGTGGGTAATGTACAACTACATAATGTTATAGGTGGGTAATGTACAACTATATAATGTTATAGGTGGGTGATACACAACTATATAATGTTATAGGTGGGTATTGTACAACTATATAATGTTATAGGTGGGTAATGCACAACTATATGTTAGGTGGATAATGTACAACTATATAATGTTAGGTGGGTAATAGCCAAATTAGATCATAAAAGTTGAGTACCGCACACAATCACAGATACTGCATAGATAAAGAAATTCCATTTTTTTTATTACAGACGATCCTCTTGAGAAGAATGAGATATCTGCACAATATCCAGAAGTTGTTGCTAAGCTACAAGCAAGACTTGAAGAGTATAGAAAACAAATGGTTCCAGCTGACTTCCCACCAGTATCACCCCTTTCTAATCCTAAATATTACGGTGATGTCTGGTCTCCGGGTTTCTGTTAGTCAACACGAGTTGTATTTAAGAAATACAAGACATAAAAACATGACTAATTAAAGGTATACTAATTAAAGATACAAGGCATAAAAACATGACTAATTAAAGGTACACTAATTAAAGAGACAAGACATAAAAACATGACTAATTAAAGGTACACTAATTAAAGATACAAGACATAAAAACATGACTAATTAAAGGTACACTAATATTATTAATCACGCTGTTTCTGCACAGTGTTCATGAAGTTCTTTGATATTTATTACCATATTATGTTGGTTTTTATATAATACTCAGACATAAATTATAGTATATTATGATATATGTCCAATAATTTGGTTGGAAATACTTTCGTGCTGAGATCTGTATAAAGCATAGAATATTTAAATATTGTTTTGTATAATATGTAAAATTTTCTATAGTTACCATGTTTTAATTTGATATACAATGTTAACTTTATATGACGGTTATGGTCTAAAAATACATCCTTGGGTCAATCCCTAGAGTTCTTAAGATTTTAGAATTTTAGCATACTATTTGTCCCGAACTAGAGAACGAGGCATGCTGGTCTATTTTCTCAGATTAAACCTTTGCGAATAAAACGTGCAATAATTACTGATTATGTATGACAAATAACGTAATTTAATGTACTTAAAGTTTTAATAAAGAGTTCAAAATAAACTATTTTACTTGCCGGGACATACTATTTAGCTTAGACCCAATTTCATTTGGTCTAACATTTCTGCTGTTTAATCGTTTGTATTGTACCATAATACCTATTAAAACCCTAACCGCCAGTGTCTAGCAAGTGTATTGTTAGCAGCAGCATTATTTGCATTAGTAGATTTATATGAAATGAAATGATACAGTAATACCTAGTGAACTGTAACTACCAGTCTCTAGCAAATGTACAGTTTGGATCGGTATATTTTGGATTAGTAGACATGAAATGAAATGGTGTTTATTATCCTTCGAAGATTTGTATAGTCCAAGACCAAGCCGTAGGGAAGAATAGAATGTCGGTATTTAGTTTTTCAGGTTCGCTGGTTAGCCTACCTCTCAACCTCCGGAATTAGGATTTCTGTATAGTCGTCGATAAGATTTCGTATAAAATAGTCGTGATAATCCAAGCTGGTAAATCAGCCGGGGAACGGTCTGGTATAAGGTTTAACGCGACTAATTTCGAAACTAGGGCAAGCAACGGCCAAACACCATGCCGTTCCCCGCAATCTGATTAAAACACAAATTCTCTTTCGTTTGTTTGTTTTAAAAAAGTTCAAAGTTTCGTTTTACTTGTCTTTACTGCACTACACTATGATCTGGAAGAGTTGTTATAGAACCCAAGTTCTGCTTTATATGGCGGGGGGGTGATTAGCCAATGAAACGTTCTGTTGCGGCAAGTTCTTGGCGTCGCTGCACGGAACTGTGGGCACCCCACTAGAAACATCGACGTAGATTGGTGAATAAAATGTGTGAGGTCATAGGGTCAAAAGCCGCTACAACCGGTCAGATCTTTATGTAGTGGAGGCCATCGAAAGAATAAAAATATAGATCTGTATTTTAATTAGATTGCGTTCCCCCGTAAACGAATGCAGTCTATTTTAACAGTCAGCCAAATGGATATATCTGAGGAAATACGGCACGGTGGGACATTTTCAAATGATTAATGAGGAGGGATCACATATGGGTGTTGTAACTAGTGTTTGATAGTTTTCAGCGCTGGTCACTCTGTAACGGCATTCCAGAACATTAACCAACAACGTAAGATTTGGACAAGATGTCAGTATACCCTCAACCAATGTAGTTGCAAACATGAATCTGTTGCGTATAAGAACTATTTCATTCGCAGTCATCTTTACATGGTACATAGTACCATTCACACCTGACAACGTGAAGATGGCAAATCTTGGTGCAAAAATAGAGTGAGAGTTATGTGCATTCTTCAAATGGGAAGTTGTATCAAGTGTTCTACAAAGAATATTGATACCCTGGCTTGTTATTACACCCGCAAATACTTATACCAAAATAAGTTAAACCATTTGAATTTGGTTTTTCAAAGCTGTAATACAAGATACAAGACGAACGTCACAAATCTTTTAATAAAGTAACGATGCGTCATAAGCATTTTGGGGAAAATAGCAAATTTCTCATATAGCTTTATCCACGCTTATATGTGCCCAGACTGAATATTTAACATTTAATTTAGAAAAACAAAATCAAAATATTAACGCTAGATACCCCCACCCCCCCCACCCCAACTTGGATTCAATAGGATTAAATACAGGCCAGTCAATTAGATGGTGGTGAGCATATATCGATGGATTTTCAGTTCTGAACGGAATTGAACCATTTTATGGACTGCTATTCCTATTAAAGATTCAACTTTCACAATGATACAGTTTGCAACGGATTCCTATATCACGCCCAGAGAGATGCAAATTGGGTTTACCATTGATAGCATTGGGTTTAGGGTGATGTGAAGAGTAGAACCCAGTGTATTATTATAATCTTCTATAATAATAAAAAAAATGAGCGGAAATACTGCTCTACAAAGTGTGTTATCTGAAGATTTTGTTAATCAATCCAGTAATTATGTTTAAAACACGGAAAGGAATTTATTTAACAAAAACAATTTTTCATACCAATTAAATAATTTTTGAGGAATTATACGAAGTATTAAAGTTGAATTATATGTTGACATCCTTGTGGCCAATCGGATTTAAATATATCTTAAATCGTAAGATAGGGAATTTTCTAGAATTATCTTCTCAAAATGTAATTTTAAGCTCGAAAGAAAAATGATGCAATTTTTTATTTCATATCGTACTTATTAAATGGGATTAAGAACCACCATTTTGTTTATTAATAGCACGTATGGTTAGTCTTGTTGTCAGTATAATAAGAACACAGCGTGAACTCTAATCCTTGTAAAATATTTAGATTATAAATCATTTAATTTTTTTTACCCCATCGTAAAAACTTTCTTCTTCCCTTTGTTGTTTGTAAATTTTTATCATAAGTGGTTACTAATAAGTATTTTAGTACATTGTAATCAGACTCTTTCATTCTTTCATTTGATGTTGAAAGTTGTTGCGGCCTAGTTCATCTTTTGTGGTCTTCAAAGTAAAAAGGTAAAACTTCTTTGATTTTGTTTTCAATAAATATTATTAGTAGTCTGATTCTTTTTATTGTCATTTTTACGAAAATCAATGTATCAATTTTTATTGTGATTTTTACGAAAATATATGTATCAATTTTTATTCTGACTTATCTAAATTATTGTGTGGAATATTTGCTAAGGAGAAAACTACTATTTGGAAACTTATAACTTAAATTAACGTTGCTTTATGTTTGCCATTAACGGATCCTTTAATGAGGCGGAAACGTTTTAAGATGATCAAAACTATTGGAATAGCGTTTTCCAACACTTAGGTAAATCATTTTTCTTTAATGGTATATTATATAAATTTAAAACTGTTTTTCTAAAATCTTCAAAATCAATGTGTACATATTAAAGCTTAAAACATAAATATGACTAAGGCTCAGTATGTTGCGGTATTAAATTAGAGAGTGACTTATGTTACACCTAATTTATTTTTAAAAAAGGCTAAGGTGAGGTTATTGACAAGACTGGGATCACATAATTATCATAAACACTGGGTTATGTGGATTAGTCAGTTAGGTTACTTTCCTAAAATATCAGATGGCGATACAATTAGTGATAGGCGTTGTGTATGAGGCGGGGTATGCTCTGCTTTGTTAATCACTCATTACCCAGTTCCCATTTAAGACCTTGGTGGCGGAGAGGGGGTCTTTTAACTGGGCAGTTTATAATATTTCAAAGAATATTTCCTACACAGGAAAATACCATTCCATTCAGTAGCTAATGAATGTATGCCTTTTCTTTTAGAACTCAATTATACCACTGGTCGCTTATTTAAGAAGTTCGTGATATAGTTAACAAGCTTTGTTTTTATTTTGTATTTGTTAGTTAAACAACCAATGGTAAAAACAGGTCAACAATAGGATTATGCCACATTTTTACAGCCTTCTGTTGGTGGTCTTATCCCTGAATGGAATTAAGGGTAAAATCAGGAACTATTACATAGCAGCGGTGGACCAAGATTGGAACTATGCACCATCTGGTGCCAACTTGATCTTTGATGACACGTTAGTATTCCTTGTTTTGTACCATTTCCTATTTGTTTTTCTTTGATTTCAAAAAGCTATCATAGTCAGATAGCTTAGCAAGTTGATGTAGACATTCCGAACAAAAGTTTTCGCTTTCAGTACATCAATGACTAGAGAGGGATTTATCGGACCATGGTCTTTGTTAACCCAGTTGGTGCAGAAAAGTAGGACATTCATTCATTCATTCATTCATTCATTCAATCATTCATTTATTCATACATATAAACATTACATACATCAGTTGGATATACAAGACACATGTATTTAGTGACAACTGTGTATTAAGCTGTTAACCGTTAATTATTGATTTTTCAGCACCAATTCTGACGTTTATATAAAAGGTGGTATGGATCGTATAGGTGGTTTGTACACAAAAGTTATTTATCGAGAATTTACTGATGGTAACTTCTCGTTACCAATAACTAGACCAGGATGGATGGGAATGTTGGGTCCGTTAATGAGAGCTGAAGTTGGCGACGAATTCCATGTTCATTTTAGAAATCTTGCCTATACCAGTGGACGGCCGTTTAGTATACATCCTCATGGTGTATTGTATACAAAAGCAAATGAAGGTTTGTTCCTAAATAATAAAAATATTACCAATTCAGCTTAGCATCTTAGTTATTTAAAGAAATTTTGAAACAAGGTAGAATTTAACGTTTGTCAAACATTGGTTTTTGATTCACACCAACTAAACTATAATGTTCTGAAACAGCAAATATATCACAAACAGCAGTTATATTCGATCTTCTTTTGTTATTAAACGCTACTAAACCTATTCTAACATTTCCTCCCAATGATATAAGTTTCTATGTATTTGCAGGAGCTATATACTTAGATGGCACATCAGGAGCGAATAAACGAGATGACGGAGTTTATCCAGGAGAAACTTACAAATATGTGTGGAAAGTGACGCCAGAATTTGGTCCCTCTGTGGAGGACCCTCCTTGTATTCCCTGGGGCTACCATTCCCATGTTCATGCTGATAAAGATATCGATAGTGGATTAGTTGGCATGTTATTGACATGTCAAGCAGGTAGTAATTTAAAATAGCTAAACCTCTCTGATTTAATAAAGTACTGAATTGGATTTTCTTATGTGTTATTCAGTTAGTAATGGGGACAGTTGTCTATTAGTCAAATAACAGTTAGATATCGACGAAGGGTCGGCGGAAACACCGCTGTCCGGGGCATGGGTTTAAGGGGCTGCAGTTCATGGGCTTTTGTCGTCTAAAGGAGTCCAAAGTTTACGAGGGCCTACCCCAACTCTGGACATAGATTTAAACTATGGGGTTACAAATGTTCATTCAGTGATTAATTTTCTTTAATTGTGACTAATTTAAGATTTATTCATGTTTTTTTTGACTATAGTGGTTAATATGTTTTTATCCAGAAACTATACAGGGTCAGATATTATAAAATTAACGTGACGAAAATTCAAACAGAAGACTTAAAACATAACGCCCTTACCAATAACACATCTCTTAAATCTATTTAATGGGTTCGTTAAATTCCACATCCGACGAAAGAAACTTCTTATAACGTGATTATAGGTATGTTATATATAAGGAAAGGCTTTTCCAAATCCTGATCATTGTAATTAATCTTAAAAAATGGCAATAATTCCAGGAACACTCTTAGACAATGGTTCCCGAAGAGATATATCAACCGAATATGTTATATACATGGATAAGACAGATGAGAATAATAGCTGGATGATAAAGGCTAATGCCGAGAGATGTGGAGATCCTGATCTGTGTCTTCAAAAAATAGCCGATCCTAATTTCGTCAAAAGCAATGAAATGTGGAATATAAACGGTTTTGTGTATGGGAATTTGCCTGACCTGGAGGTCACAGTGGGTCAAAGGGTAATTTGGTATATCATGTCTTTAAACAGTGGGATACAATCAGTTAGTTTTAGTGGTAATACTGTCACACATCGTAATCATAGGTAAGTAAAAAGATTATCAAAAATGTGTCATGTAGATATACGCTGATCTTTACATATTACTTTGAAAACAGCTTTGCACTAAATAAATCTGACTGGTATCAATTAATCTAGACAAGTATAATAGATGAATAGAAAGATAGCAACTGACTAACCTCATCACTTTTAAAAAAGGGTTCAGAAAATTAGTGGTATCACCACATGTAAAAATGGCTGTCAGGCGATAAGTATGAAGTAAATGATAGGTGGTATCATCACATATAACATCACTGTGAGGTGTATGATATAACATTATCTGTGTGATAATGTTTCCGAACTGAATGATACCTTGTTCATCACATATAATATTAGCTTTGTGACGATGTTTACGAACTAAATGATAGTTTCTCTCATCACATATAAAGCATTAGCTTTGTGACGATCTTTACGAACTGAATGATAGTTTGTATCATCACATATAAAGCATTAGCTTTGTGACGATCTTTACGAACTGAATGATAGTTTGTATCATCACATATTATATTAGCTTTATGACGATGTTTACGAACTGAATGATAGTTTGTATCATCACAGCTTTGTAACGATAATATGAAATACATGATAGTTGATAGTCATTTATTTTATTTCCATAGTGACAAAACAGTTATCCATTATATTTTAGATTAGACACAATACCATTTTTACCATCAACGTTTCTGTCTGCAGAAATGATTCCAGCTTATGTCGGCAACTTTCTTCTGTACAGCCGTATATCTGAAAACTTTGCAGGTATGACCTACCATTTTGCTTGGCTTGTAGTTTCTAAGACAAACCCCCATTTTTTAAAAAAAGAAACAATGTATATTCGAAGAGTAGGGTCTATATTATGAAGTACTAGGATGGCTTGTAACAGTGGTTTTAAAATAAAGAAAATAAGCTATGTTCAGTCCATTACGTGGGATACAGCGTGCTTTGCATTATTTAATTTTATTTTTCATCAATATGAATGTTCAGCCCATTGCGCAGGCTACAGTGAGATTTACATTATTTTATTTGTTATAAATAAGGTATTTCTGTGTTTATGTGTAATATGAATGTTTCAGGTGGGATGCAAGCCTTCTACACAGTTAAGCCTCCTCTTCCACTCACTCGTCAAAAGCGACAAGCAACACCAGCTTTAAATCTACCAATAGGATCGAAACAACAGTCACGTGGTTGGTTTCCGGGAAGTATGTGGAACTCCCAAAATACCAGACAATCGCCAACACACATGTGGAGTTTACCAACCAATTTCAATCCTAGTACATGGAATTCTAAGAATAGTTTATACCCAGGGATTTCTCAGGGTCCTTGGGGCGTTCAAAATAGGCAGACACCTGACAAAGGCTCTTTACTCTGGGATTTTTTAAGTAGTTATATTTCAGGGAATTACCCATATAGTTCTTCCGGTGTTCAAAACGGTTGGTATCCACGCTGGTCTTCTAACAACTATTATCCACAAAGGTCAAGGGGAGGATTGGCACAAATCCCTTCTTCGTGGGGTTCACTTTTCCCAAAACGTACAAGAAATCCAGGGTCCTGGAACACCAGGTCAAGGCGACCCCCACAGCGAACTCCACAGCGACCACCTCCAACTGTAAGTAAAGTACCGGGTCAAAGGCCGCGTCCCCAAAGACCAATACCTTCAGATACGCGTCCACCAAACCCACCCGTGCCCTCTGACATCATACCAGCTAAAGTAACCCCCGTCCAACGAATTACTACTGTTCCTACCACGCCCATTTCTATCACACCGAGTACCAAGATTCCCCATGTCACCCAAAGACCAAGTCGTAGAGGACCAAGAAGACCACCTCATTTCAGGAACGCGTGGAAGAGACCTGGTATTTCAATCTACACAAGAAATGTTCATGGAAACGCATGGCAGCAAGTGCCTTCAAAACTGAGCATTACCCATTCCCCTAATCCTAATAATACTTTTAAATTAGTGGATGAACAAAACAGCAACACAAGAAATGGTCGTGGAAATGCATGGCAGCAAATTCCCTCAAAACTAAACATTACACATTCCTCCAATTCTAATAATACTTTTAAATTAGTGGATGGAAAAAACAATAACTCCCAGAACATCGGGACCACCAGTGCACCAGAAAATTTTGCTTGGACAACAATAAGTACTGGCACAAGTCCCGATTTGACTACTACTGATTGGACAGCATCTTCGCGGGCGCCAAGGATATCAAGATCAGCTCATTTTGGTCCAGGATTGTTCAATAGTTTTCAGAATTACCGGGCTCGAGTATACTATATTAGTATAGAGAGAGTTTTGTGGAATTATGGCCCCTCTGGTTTTGATAAGTTTAACGGTGGTGGACTACTAAATAACACGTAAGTATTTTTTTATCATATGTTTATTACCAAACAACCATGTTACCAGGAGCGAGCAATGGAACACAGTTTATTCACATACACTTATAAATTTAAGGCAAAATTCTATTGAAATGAGCTTTTTTTAAAAAAAAAAATAAATAAAATGGTTCTTTGGGCCAAACTTCTAACAGACAATTAAATAATTCTTTGCGCGACTATCAATAACATATTATCAAACCGTTGTTCTTCAGGAAATCTAAACCATTCTTTGAGCGTGGACCACAGCGAATTGGTGGCGAATATGTGAAAGTGCAGTTCTTCCAGTATACTGATGAAAGTTTTTCTGAACGAGTAGAAACACGATATCGCCATCTCGGATTACTCGGTCCACCAATATTAGCAGAAGTTGGTGATGACGTTACAGTTGTTTTAAGGAACAATGGGGATGTACCATTTTCTTTCCTTCCTTATGGGTTTACATTTGCCAAGAGTCAGGAAGGTCTCCTCTATAAAGATAAACAAAGTAAGAGACATTTTATTACTATATTAAAATAACATATAAAACGAAACCTGTCAAACTTTTCGCAGGCGACGCGATTCGCATTGTCATGCATAGTCTCTTCATCGATACCGCAGCAAAATATCTTAATGGATGAAGAGTGGAGAGTTAAATATACCTGCCTTCTTCTGATGAACCCGGGATTTTACTGTTCAGAATTGTCAGTCTGTTCATAGAAAAGTTTTTGTTTAAATCAATGTTGTTTTAAATAACTATTAGAAACTTGTAGACATAACAAGTATTATTTGCCCTACTATATGAATTGAAGACATAATAAGAAATAAATATTATTTATCCTACTATATGAATTGTAGACATAACAAGTTTTATTTACACTATTATATGACTTGTTTATAGCTGGGCAAACGACAGGACGTGTCACTCAACCTAATCAGACGATGGCATATTACTTTAGTGTACCTGATGTATATACTGGACCTACAGCTGATGATGCCCCTTGTGTTACACATACATATCAATCTGGAGTCAACCCTGTTAAAGATATGAACTCTGGTCTTGTTGGGCCTGTAGTCATCTGTCGACGTGGACAATTACAACAAAATGTGGTAAAAAAACCTTTTTATCAAAGGCTATGGAGTGATTTGAAATCAATTGATCTGCGTGTTTGTGTATTACAGATAAGATAAATTTCCCACATATATTTATATGGAAAACAGCTACTAGTGTATTTAAGGCGACGTTTCGTAGAGTAATCTCTCAACGTTATCAAGCTAATACAGTAAAACAGGTATGAGGCAAATATATATAGACAAAATACAACAACACATGGCTATGTATGGTTTCGGTTGTGTTGTTGTATTTTGTCTATATATATTTGCCTCATACCTGTTTTACTGTATTAGCTTGATAACGTTGAGAGAATACTCTACGAAACGTCGCCTTAAATACACTAGTAGCTGTTTTCCATAAGTATGTGTTTTGTTGTTACTCTATCCAGTTACTAAATGCCATTTAAAGAACATATATTTATATGTTGAAAGTATGGGGGTATGGGGGTTTTAATTGTGTCACCAGAAACTGGGTGTAAACGTTTAAGATTTGTAGCCTAGTATATCGATATTTTATTTGAAGGCTCTAGTCTTATTTACTTCAGAAATTTTTTTTGATTTTCACATCAACAGAAATTGAAAGAATATAAATTTAGGGGCGGATAGAAAAAAAAATAATCTATATCTTTGTTAATTTCAGCTTTCTCCTCTGCATAGACAGTCATGGTTTTCCTCCAATAAACATATCTATCTGGCATTGATTACATTCGATGAGAACGAATCTTGGTATTTGGACGAGAACATCAGAAGATATACTATGTCACCTGAACTTGTTGATAAACAAGATGCCGATTTTAAAGAATCCAATGCTATACACTGTAAGTATAATGTACAAACCTTTAACGATTAGCATACGATTGCCTTATTAATAGAGTATAGATTCTATAGAATTCGTTAGACTTTTCATTTAGATCCCTAGCCCCCTCCACCGAACTATCCACGGTTGTTTTATTTGTTGTGTATACTTTATAGTGTTGAGTTTTCATACGTTAATTGTCTCTTCAAACACTATTAAGGGATTTTTGTTTCAATGCCCTTTATAAATATTTTGCTTCACTGTGGATTCTACTGTTTTGCTTTCTGTTCTCCGAAATAAAGGTAACCTCACCTCAAATCAATGTGTTCTTTCACAGCTATCAATGGACTGGTTTATGGCAATTTGAAAGGCATCGATTTCTGTTTGTCTGATAATGTCATTTGGCATTTAATGGTGTTTGGTGGAACAACTGACATGCATGGACTATATATCCACGGACAAACGTGGGATGAATTTGGAAATAATATTGATGCTAAAGGTTTACTTCCGGGTTTTACTGCAACGATGACTTCTAGTCCTGACACTATTGGTAATGTTTAAATTTAAACCATTTATTTTTCCGCGTTAATAAATATCTGTATTTATACAGGCATAGAGAGCTGACGAACTTCTGTTTACAAAATATACCAGTTAAAGCCCCTGATCGTCATTGTCATTTGATGGATTATCAATCACTTGCAAACTCGTAGAAATTGTAAAGAAATAGAAATATGAACCAAATTATGGTTCAATTCCATTCAGTATTTACACAGATGTGATGAATTTCGTAAGATTCGGTATCCTCTGCAGATCGTATAATCAAGTCAGCGTCATCTATAAATGAAATTAAATGGGATTTAACGTTCTAGTGTTCTGCACCCACCGGACTATTGAAGATGGGTGCCACCTGGAAGTATAGAGAAAAATCTTTTGACAGACCTCATATTAATCCGATTGAATTCAAACAGGGAGATTATCTACCATGATATTTTGGTTTTATTTTCTAAATATTAAATAATCAATTTGAGTAGGCTACATATGGATTTAGTCGGCCAAAATTAAAAATTGTCCAACAATGTCACCGGGATCGTCGATGCTAACTTTTAAACTGTGAAATGGTGTGTATAATTCCGTATACTGTACGAGTGTTATAAACTAATTTCTGTTATAGGAACTTGGAGTATAGTGTGTAGAACGAATTCACATTTTGAAGGTGGTATGGTCGCATTGTACACAGTAAAAGAATGTGGTAATGAAGAAAGGATGTTTAGACGAGGTCCTAGTCGGAAGTATTTTATCGCAGCTATGGAGGTTGAGTGGGATTATGCTCCTTTAAAACGAAGTTTAGCGGATGGAGAGCCATTGACAGATATTAATCAGTAAGTATGACGCCAATGAAAGGTTTCCTTGTTCGCACATCTATGTAGAATTTGGGCGGAAGCTTTCGTCAAACAGAACCCGGTAACTGATGATTGCGAGAACCAAACAAGGTTAATCAGTGAATAAATCGCCAATTGACTTGAATATGCGTCACAGGAATACACCGATTCGGGTTTTGTATACAAGCGGTTTGAGGTTTTCGCGTTTTAGTGATCTAAAATGATTTACAAACGGCAGTCAGAAATAAAATCAGTTATATGATCATTTATTAAAGAGGAATTATATGTAAGATTCAGATAAGGAGGTGGCCGTTCTTGCTATAATAGTTAAAAATTAGATCATGAAAAATAGTCGGTTGTCAAGTACCGTTGCTGTAATAATAAATGAAGTCTCTTTTTTTCTTGAGTGACGTCCATTTTAACGTTAACCGATTATGTGGCGCGGTTGGTCTAATCCATTCAATATCTAAGGCACCCGATGCTTCTAGAGTGTAGATTATGGACTTGGCATGTGAATAAATATTTAAATAATAACTTTTGTAACATTTGAAGCTAGAAAAAAGACCTGCAAAACGCATATTTATCTCTTACATAACGCATCTTTAACAGTAAATCTATCTGCTATTTCAGGCCAGGTGGAGCATTTATTAACAGTAGAACTATTTGTAATTTCAGGCCCGGTGGTGTGTTTGTTGTTAGCAGTGATATGTATATAGGTAGTAAATATAAAAAAGTCATATATAGAGAGTTTACTGATGAAACTTTTACAACCCCTGTCATTCGTGGACTGGATGAAGAGCATCTTGAAATCATGGGACCCTTCATCAAAGCTGAAGTGGGCGAAAATATAGAAGTTGTTTTCAAGAATTTGGCATCAATGCCATATTCAATCCATGCACAGGGACTTAAATACAGCAAGGCAAATGAAGGAGCTAAATACGCGGATGGAAGTCGAGAAACGCCAAGCGGGCGATCTGTGGCTCCAGGGCGGACATTTACTTATCACTGGGAAGTACCAGCTAGAGCAGGACCAGGACGTAATGATCCCAATTGTATTGGGCGAATGTATTATTCTTCAGTGGATTCGGTGGCTGATACTTATTCGGGATTGTTTGGTCCCTTAGTGGTGTGCCGGTCGGGAATTTTAGATTCGACAGGCCGACGTATGGACGTGGATCGCGAGTTTGCAGTAATGTTCATGGTTGTGGATGAAAACAGAAGTCATTACTTAAATGATAATATTCAATTATATGCACCTATGGTGGCAAATATGAAATTGGATATTCCTAAAATGCCAACTCATACCAATGGTAATATGGTGCCTCCGTGGACAAAATTAAATGAGACTAACAATGTATCATCTAAACAAGAAAATAACAGGGGAAGAGAAAGTAGAATCAACCATAATAGTGAATCAGACATGCAAGTTAGACATACTGTGAATGAACCGGATGATAATTCAGACCACCATACTTTCAACCATGGCTCAAAGATAAATAATATCAACAAAGATAAACTGTTGGATTCTATCAATGACCATGAAAATGTTTTGCAAAAGAGAAGTATAAAAGATGATGTCCAGACAAGAAATGTTGATTCTAAAAGACGTGGTTTCCATAATCCAAATTCAAATTCAAGTAATAATGTCAGTACACCTGAACCTTTTCCAAACCCGAACCCATCTGGTGGTCTGTATAACAAAACAGATTTCCAAAATCGAGTTGCAAGAGACTTAACAAATAATATTAAAACTCCACAAGCTAGTGCTGGTGTAAAAACTGTAGTGAAAACAATAGTTCAGGGCAGAGATCCCGCACTTTTTGGTACCGCCATGTTTCAACACAGCAATCACATGAACTCAATAAATGGGCGACTTATGGGTAATCTGAATGGAATTGAAATGAATCAGGGAGATAAAGTAGCTTGGTACGTCCTGGCTCTCGGTTCAGCCGAGGATTATCACCCTGTCCATATCCATGGACAAGTGTTCACTCGTCGTTCAGACAGAGCCCATAGATCGGATGTGGTTGAGGTGTTCCCTTCGACGTCAGACACAGTGGAGATGTTAGCTGTGAACCCCGGTGACTGGATATTACACTGCCACTTTAGTAAACATGCTAAGAATGGCATGCAGCTCATTTACACAGTTTATCCCAAAAAATAACCTATTTCAACATTTTTTATTTTGTAATTCTTTACACCCATTTCACGAGTTGTTAAATTTTGCCATATTTAATAAAAATGAATAAACATTTAAACATACATTATGCAAGAGCTAAATCTGTCTAGTGCAGGTCTTTCTTTAGGGCTGAAATGTTATCTAAATTATTAATTAGATATTAATTGACTTATCCAGACCATAATCAATTCTCGATGTCATCGCTAGCCTGCGAAATTTACTGGATTAGGATCGGATTTGTTGCTCAACTTCCATTCATGATTAAATCATGAAATGGATAATCGAGACTATGTTTTTATCGTACCGACTTTAGTAATGATGATCGAGGCTAGGCCGAAAATTCAATCGCTAAATTCTCGGTTCAGAGTGGACCAATTTGACTGAAATTTTCATTTGACTGAAATTTATAATAGGGTCCACGATAAAATGTTAAATTTTGATCAAATATAGATATCAGTTCTAGGCATTGTTATTAGTTGACTTGAGAAATTTATTGTTCTTGAAGTAATGAAACTTATGTCCAATTTTATGTAACTATCATCGTGCACGTCCAAAGGAGATTAATAAGCAATGTCCTAAATCAAAAAATGTAAATATCCATTATATTATGTTGTCTCGTATCAATATCATATCCATGTTATATATATACATCAATATCGATTTTTTAATATTTTAATATATGATTGTAAAATAAAATTATCATTTGTTATCTTGTTTGTTTATGAATATACCCATGACTAATCTAACAGCAATAAAAAAACCTTTTTGTATATTTCTTTATCCCGTAATTAGATAACGTTATATTAATTTAACCAAACATCTGAATCCGTCCATTCGGAGGTTTTCAGAAATGACAGCAGATGAACAAAACAAGTTTTCATTCTGAAAGCAAACATTTTAATACAACGAAACGTGTGCCGTCCACACGTGTGCTTTGTGTCGCTTTGTTATCCGATACACTCTTAATATATAAGAAAAAAAAATGCCAATATGTCTAAACTGTTGTAGTACCATGGGTTGTTTGGCAGACGTGGAAAGCGGGCCGAGCAAATCCAGTCGCCACATCCTACGTATGACACATGCTCTCTATTCTTACTACATATCTTAATGGCCTTGTGATCGTCTAATTGTCTTCTTTGACTTCCTTTTCACATTGTGTATTTGCTTCTTACTATCTCCGCCGTTTGTCTTCTCGGTAGTTAAGACGTTTGTCTTATCAGGAATCACACTGCATCAGTTCGTTTTTTACATTTTATGTCAAGCAATGATTACATAAATTACAATAAAGTCATTCTCTCAATCCCATTCCACCCAGACTAGCTTTGCTACATCATATGACCTAGTAACTCAGATGGTAATCTCCCCGGAACCCATGGCCGTCATATTGACTTGATTGGTAAATATAACATGTCTCTCTCGGCTATTATTCTAGATATATTTAATTGACGCGTATACTATCTCCCTGATAATGTCTGTCTACTACATCGTTAACACTGTTCATCACGTGCATTTTGCATACCGATAGTTCATTGGCCAATCACGCTATTTTACCGAGATTTCGCCTAATAGTTTGGATGCAGCTATGGCGGGTGTGGCGCCAGGCAGGGTAAGCTTACTCTTCCGGACACCTGTTACCACTGTTTGTCGTGTATTTTGTACACGGTGAACAGTCCACATGCTGATTACACTATTTTGCCTTATTACACTATTTTGCCTATACCGTTTTTTTAGGACTTCGAATTTTGTCTAATGGTTTGGATTGTTCGTACTTGGTTTTATTTTATTATCTGAATCTTAAATGGCTGGATTGGGCGTTTTAACAGATTTTCTTGCGTCATGACTTAATATTCTGCAAATAATCAATTTGATTGGATGGTTACACTGTATGATGCAATTAGAAAATTTCCAATCACGTGTTAAACATGATATTCTGATTCCCATGGAACCAGCTATGTTTACCAAATTAGTACTCTTTTTATGTGTAAATCCGTCACTCATTATTTGAGTGCATTAGATATGATTTCTATACAATGTGTGAATGTGAACCCAATAAATAGTTAAAGATACAATGTGGTCGCAAAGACCATAGTACTACATTGTTTGTTAGAAATCATCAGCTGATAGACGAATTATAATTCATAAAACCCATAATAGTTTATCTCCATACCCGGGTAAAAGCTGTGACAACTGTATCCTTCGTTTTGAAATGTTACGCTTTATCAGATTGTCTTTAATTCCTTGGAAAATAGACAATATATTATTAGCACTGCAATCATGGAGAACGAACGTCCGTAATAATAGTGGCTAGATTGAGTAATATGGATTAAGACTTGTAATGGCTTCCCTTGATATCAATTCTTTCTTCCCGCCCTTCCCCTCTATTGCATGACAACTTATGGTCTAGAATCAAAGAAGGGTGTTTGCGTTTACATTGTCTGCCGGGTTTGGTGAATATTCACAATTTTGAGGAAGACGGATCAGGAAATACAATCAGGCATAAGTTCGGGAAATCGCATACTAAAATGATGGGAAGAGAATTGCTTTATCCTGATATGTTAGAAACAGGAGGACTTACAATGGAGTTATCTCCCTTCTATCATACATCAGTGGCGACCCGAGAACATTCGTTAATTATTTCAAGAAAGGTTTTGACACAATCTAGCTTCACAAGACTTTAAGAGTATATATTATACAATAAAGTTATTTTGTCAAACAAGACTTTAAGAGTATATATTATACAATAAAGTTATTTTGTCAACAAAAATATTATAGAATGAAAAGGATATAGGCGCTATATAAATCAATTATTATTATTATTATTATTTTTCTCAGAATTCGACGAAATTTAATATGGTTATTTATACATAGGGATAGGAGCCGGGGCTGGGGCGGGATGCTGGGGTCTGCTGCAGCCCCCCTCCCACCCTGTTATTTCCGTTTTCCGTGCACAAAATTCAGAGAATGAGACATCATAGAAATATAATTGTATAATTGTAAAATGAAATCGCCCGCATTTTACGTTTTGAATTCTTTAATACTTAAGATCTTGGGCAATAACATCAAATGTAGAGAACGTTAATGATTGATTCACTCTGAAAATTTGGGTTACAAAGAAAATTTTCGGGCAAATAACCTCAGCCCCGTAACCCACCCCCCACCCCAAGGAAATAAGGCAATTTCTAGAACAAACTATCTCATTCTTACTCTAGTGAACTTCTAAAACCTACTTGTATTCAACAATCCATTATTTCAAGAATATAATAACATTAATTGTTCATTGATATACATGCAGGTGAAAAAATCACACCGCGCTCCAAGTTGCCTAGCAATGAAATTCCAGGGTTAGAGAACCGAGCGACAGGGATTAGGGTGGGGATTTAACGCCAACCGCATCTGAATGCATAACAATGTTAAAATAAAACCTTTTTGGAACTGATGTGTGGTACATGTATATTATTATTAAAGTACACTTGCGCACGTGGGTCTTTAGTCGTTGGAGGAAACTAGGGAACCCATAGAAAGACATAAACGTGGGGACGAAATCCCGTATGGATTACAGAAAATATGATAAAAAGCACACGCGTAAGATCACAGGACCACCATTCCCCCTGTATATTAAAAAAATGCCGAATCTGTCTATAGCAAATCGTAGATTTATTTCTGCATTTTTTGTATGACTCTTAAAACTTTTGGGGCATCATTCTATGTATTGGTCTTACAGATAATACAGACGACTTTATTACTTGTGAAGCCGCGGTGGTTTAGTGAGTAAGGCGCCGGCTCGCTGACCTAGAGGTAGCGGGTTTCCGTTTGTCAGTGGTGCATGGCAGTGGGTCTGGCAAGGAACCGTAACTGGTAGCTATAAGGGAATCTGACAAGTCTGAATCTGTTTTTTTGTTTGTTTGATGATAATGCCTCGTATAATTTGAAGGTTTTACACGTCGTTCATAGATCTCTTTAGATAATAATCTTAACATTTTTCTTTTAAATAAATAAACGTAATCCGGGAGGGCTGACACATTTTACATCAAAATAATATGATATCACTGACACATCAAAAGGAATATAAATAATAATATTATTACAGATGTCAATGGGCTAAAACATTAATGCAATTCAGTCTGTAATTATCTGGTATATTCTAAGTATAGGTTCTAGTGTTACATATAGAATGTATGATAATTGACTATCATTACCATGACTATCACATTTTTTAAAATTTATAATTCTTGACATTTTTGATATGGATTAGTCACCCTTGATTATTATTTGGTGATGAAAGGCTAAAGACACAAGAAGCCAGGTCGTTCACATATATTTAAAAAAAACTAAACATGTTATTATCTGAGTTTAAAACTGTCATCATGTACAATGGACTGAATTGTACTAAACATAGCATATTTATCATTGAAAGCAATGCAAACTTTAAATGGCTTTAACTTAAGTGAGAATCGATGGGGCTTTAAAATATATATATACGAATAAATGAACAGTCGCTCTATACTCGCCCCTTTCAGTGTCTCAACGGAGCAGCATTACCATTGATTCAAGAACAGAAACTTAGGATTTCCTCCGAGTATAACTCGACGTTTTCTTCTACATGCCAGTACGAATCAAATGTAAATACCACTATTCTTCTTATGACCAGACATCCCACAAATGTGATCAGTGTGAACGCCATCCTAGACCCCAAATAAAGTCTTTTTTTTTAAATTCTGTGTATGATATATTGAAATACATGCTAAGCGCCGAAGTCCACTGGTCACAATGTTGGAAATACCCTATAACCTTTCTAATTTCTAATTCTTTGACGATCTCACTAGTATAAGGAAGACAATAAGATTCGGTATCGGTTGTGATCCTTTCAATCGCAGAGAGTGTACCATTATTCAAGACTGGAACGTACAGACATACAGAATATCTTACACGAAAGAAATATATCTATATGAACTATGATGATTCTCTATGTGGATTAAAATGAAATGGTGTTTTTAACGTTCTACTTGTCTACACCGACTGTGCTAATTAAGACGGGTACGCGCATTGCAATGGGCTATAACTATATGAGGGAAACTTTGCCAGAACAAAGTCTTCATCGAATTCCCACTGCCCCCCCCCCAACACACACACACGAACGCGACTGGCCTTTACCCTGAACCACTGATAGGGGTAAACCAGGTTGGAAACTACGGTGGAAGTTTTTCGGGGTGGAAGCAAGGACCTCCTGGTTAGTTAGTCAGAGTTAAACTTAATGGTCCATCGCGGCTCCGTCTATAAGGGTAGAAACATGGTGTGTTGTAGTAAATGCGGGACCCAATTTGAAAAGAGAGAGAGAGAGAAATGGGGTTTCACGTCCACTCGACACAAACTAGGTCATTTCGGGACTAACACATGGTTCAATTTTATTTCAATAATTCGCTTGCGCGTAGGGGTCTTTAGCAGTGGGGGGAAACCGGAGGACCCGGAGAAAATCCACGAGGTTGGACAGGCCACCCTACTCCTTGTCACGTAAAACCGGGGAATCGAAACCCCGCCAGTTGACTCAATTACAGACCGTATCATACAGCGCAGTGCGCACGTGCTAACCATTCGGCCATCTAACCCCCCTCTCAATTTGGAAGGCCCGAATATGAATACATTGCAAGAAATGAATACTTTAACCAGGCCTATATTCATTTATAGATTTTTCTTATAGCCAACAATACTTGAAAATAGCCACACCTGGCAGCTCTGCTGTCAGATTGCCGGGAAATTTTTTTAAGTTGGTGAGCCGCGGGACC